AGTTACGTATTGCTGCTTACGGTTCACTACTCACGACGATGTTTTTTTGGTACCTTTTTTCACCGGAAAGGACCCGTAAAGTGATAATGATTATCATCTACATATCACAACGTGCGTGGAGGCCATCAAACCACGTCAAATAATCAATTATGACGCAGGTATCGTATTAATTGATCTGCATCAACTTAACGTAAAAACAACTTCAGACAATATAAGTCAGCGACACTGAACTCGGGCACTACTGACAGAACCCGCAGTCAAATTGCCCGCAACATCGCTTCTAACCAAATGATTGAACAAATTTAAATAGCGGTCTTGAAAGGTCCGGAATTTGCTGGAATCTGCTCGCCGTCGAGACCAACGTCAGAGTATATACATCAACAAAGTGATGAAGATTGACAATCCGCGTTCCTTCTCTGAACAGGATGATATTGTAGATTCATGATACGTAGTGAGTGCAGTTTTACTTCACTTTTCTGACAGACCAGACTGCGTGTTGGCTTCTGTCACAGATCAAATAGTTTGAATGATTCAGTAGTTATGGTGACAGATCAATCACCGGATTAATCCTTCATATTAGTTATCGTATTAGCCAAACGCTGCCTCCATCGCTCTGAATGCTTCCAGAGACACCTTATGTTTTATACATGCAATTACAACGTCAGGGTAACTCATAGAAGATGGTGTTATTAGCATTTTTTACACGAATCAGATCACTGATGACAGAGTATCATCAGCGAAATTCTTTATTCTGTCTTATGCGCTTGTTCTTCATCTAGCGTGTTAAATATTACTTCAAATCTTTCTGTATGATAGATTTGGCATTATATACATCTGTCGGTTGTAATGTTCCAGTAGAGACCGCACTTTGTTACGCAACCAATACTATTAAGCGAAAACATTCCTAATATTTGACATAAATCATCAACAAAAGTCAGACCAGATGAAACGATAAAATGAACGACAATGCATACTACGTATCACATGGAAGGTTTTACCAATGGCTCAGGCTGTCATTTTAAAAGAAATATTCGATCAAGATTTTGACTGCGATATTGTTTTATTCTGAACTCAAAATGTCACAACGTCTCACATTATATTTACTATCTAGCCACAGATAATATTCACATCGTGTTAGAAAACGATAACACCGTGTTAATAAAAGGACTTAAAAGGTTGTAAATGTTAAATTCTCAAGAAACACGCATCTTATAGAAACGTCCTATGATAGGTTGAAATCAAGAGAAATCACATTTCAGCAATACAGGAAAATCTTGCTAAAGCAGGAGTTTTCCGATGGGTTACAAATATCCATGAACATAAAAGCTATGCCTACTTTGATAATTCATTACTATTTACTGAGAGCATTCAGAACACTACACAAATCTTTCACGCTAATCATAACGTCCGGTTTCTTCCGTGTCAGCACTGGGGCGTTGGCATAATGCAATATGTGTACGCTAAACCTGTGTGCATCGTTTTAGTTGTCCCGGACACTCCGCGAAGTTCCCGTCAGGGCTGTGTAGTTAATCCGGGAATACAATGACGATTCATCGCACCTGACATACATTAATAAATATTAACAGATATGAAATTTTCAACTGATTGTTTAGTAGGTCGTCGTGTTCTACCATATCATGACCTCTCTGCGAACTCCAAAAAGCATCGGGCAATATCACGATGAAAAGCCTACGCCAAGCTAGCTGGGCCCTTCGCCTCCTAGTGACGCGTGTTAAACAGACGTTTACTTCGTTCAAAAAACAAAAAAACCGGCAGCAGTTGCGCCAAAGGAAACACACCATCGTCATTTCTTCTCGCTCCTGAACTGGCAGAAGACTGTCATGCTCTGAAACTGGCGGCGCGCAGAAATAGTCGCTAACAGACAGCCTGCGCTCGTAACTGGGATTGCTCGGTTTATTATTTTAGTATTTGGCCATCGCGACCGACGACGACGCATAAATGACGATCAGCATGTTGTTACCAGCTTAAAGACGCCGAATTTCTTGCATAACAGCGCAGTACATCGACGCATCTGCATGTCAGTAATTGCCGCGTTCGCCAGCCATCATTCATGCGACAGTACGACATTTTGCATACCAGAGCGGAGATAATCGCGGTTCTTACCATCAGTCTCTTCCACTGTTCAGTCGCTTCAATTTACCGGCTGTTCAGTCTTATGCTGAATCGACACCATGCCCGGCAGCTTCAGCATTACGGTCGTGATGCGTCATCACAAAGCGCCACGCTTCCTTTAATCTGCCGTCGTTACGTCTCGATGCTGAGAGAAGTATCAACGGGAAAAGAAGCTGAAAACTGGCGCTCGTTGATTTTGAGTTGGCGGCGTGATTAAGCTGAGGGTGATCACTTTCCGTTTACACGCACCATGATCGACTACGCCAGCATGATATCGGTGAACAGCTCATCGATTTCTTACCATCTCTATCTCGGCTTTTTTAGCAGCGAAGCGTTTAGAAAGTCAGCTGACGTAGCTGATAAACACGCTCGTTATGCTGTTTGAGATTGCTGCTATTCGACGAAATGAAGGTCAAACGAATGAATCCAGCAATGGCGCACATCGCCGCCGATACGTTTTTGTAAATGCAATCGCCATATCTGCCGCGAAGGTAATGCTATTGCAAACGGATTGCCTGATGTTTGTTTCTTTTTGCCGCGATAATGGCGGTTGACAAATCGTTTTTCTGCGGATCTTCATAAATTCTTACTCCCCAATAAGGGGATTAATTTAATTAGGAATACGATTACTACAAAAAGGCAATCAGATTTGTCTCGTGACGATATGCACGGGCAGATCTACGTAAAATTTAAAAAAGGATCAACCAAATAATAGTCGCTTTTTTGGAATTTTTTTTGCGCTAACAACCTCCTGCCGTTTTGCCCGTGCATATCGGTCACGAACAAATCTGATTACTAAACACAGTAGCCTGGATTTGTTCTATCAGTAATCGACCTTATTCCTAATTAAATAGAGCAAATCCCCTTATTGGGGGTAAGACATGAAGATGCCAGAAAAACATGACCTGTTGGCCGCCATTCTCGCGGCAAAGGAACAAGGCATCGGGGCAATCCTTGCGTTTGCAATGGCGTACCTTCGCGGCAGATATAATGGCGGTGCGTTTACAAAAACAGTAATCGACGCAACGATGTGCGCCATTATCGCCTAGTTCATTCGTGACCTTCTCGACTTCGCCGGACTAAGTAGCAATCTCGCTTATATAACGAGCGTGTTTATCGGCTACATCGGTACTGACTCGATTGGTTCGCTTATCAAACGCTTCGCTGCTAAAAAAGCCGGAGTAGAAGATGGTAGAAATCAATAATCAACGTAAGGCGTTCCTCGATATGCTGGCGTGGTCGGAGGGAACTGATAACGGACGTCAGAAAACCAGAAATCATGGTTATGACGTCATTGTAGGCGGAGAGCTATTTACTGATTACTCCGATCACCCTCGCAAACTTGTCACGCTAAACCCAAAACTCAAATCAACAGGCGCCGGACGCTACCAGCTTCTTTCCCGTTGGTGGGATGCCTACCGCAAGCAGCTTGGCCTGAAAGACTTCTCTCCGAAAAGTCAGGACGCTGTGGCATTGCAGCAGATTAAGGAGCGTGGCGCTTTACCTATGATTGATCGTGGTGATATCCGTCAGGCAATCGACCGTTGCAGCAATATCTGGGCTTCACTGCCGGGCGCTGGTTATGGTCAGTTCGAGCATAAGGCTGACAGCCTGATTGCAAAATTCAAAGAAGCGGGCGGAACGGTCAGAGAGATTGATGTATGAGCAGAGTCACCGCGATTATCTCCGCTCTGGTTATCTGCATCATCGTCTGCCTGTCATGGGCTGTTAATCATTACCGTGATAACGCCATTACCTACAAAGCCCAGCGCGACAAAAATGCCAGAGAACTGAAGCTGGCGAACGCGGCAATTACTGACATGCAGATGCGTCAGCGTGATGTTGCTGCGCTCGATGCAAAATACACGAAGGAGTTAGCTGATGCTAAAGCTGAAAATGATGCTCTGCGTGATGATGTTGCCGCTGGTCGTCGTATGTGTAGAAAATTAAACAAACCCTAAACAATGAGTTGAAATTTCATATTGTTAATATTTATTAATGTATGTCAGGTGCGATGAATCGTCATTGTATTCCCGGATTAACTATGTCCACAGCCCTGACGGGGAACTTCTCTGCGGGAGTGTCCGGGAATAATTAAAACGATGCACACAGGGTTTAGCGCGTACACGTATTGCATTATGCCAACGCCCCGGTGCTGACACGGAAGAAACCGGACGTTATGATTTAGCGTGGAAAGATTTGTGTAGTGTTCTGAATGCTCTCAGTAAATAGTAATGAATTATCAAAGGTATAGTAATATCTTTTATGTTCATGGATATTTGTAACCCATCGGAAAACTCCTGCTTTAGCAAGATTTTCCCTGTATTGCTGAAATGTGATTTCTCTTGATTTCAACCTATCATAGGACGTTTCTATAAGATGCGTGTTTCTTGAGAATTTAACATTTACAACCTTTTTAAGTCCTTTTATTAACACGGTGTTATCGTTTTCTAACACGATGTGAATATTATCTGTGGCTAGATAGTAAATATAATGTGAGACGTTGTGACGTTTTAGTTCAGAATAAAACAATTCACAGTCTAAATCTTTTCGCACTTGATCGAATATTTCTTTAAAAATGGCAACCTGAGCCATTGGTAAAACCTTCCATGTGATACGAGGGCGCGTAGTTTGCATTATCGTTTTTATCGTTTCAATCTGGTCTGACCTCCTTGTGTTTTGTTGATGATTTATGTCAAATATTAGGAATGTTTTCACTTAATAGTATTGGTTGCGTAACAAAGTGCGGTCCTGCTGGCATTCTGGAGGGAAATACAACCGACAGATGTATGTAAGGCCAACGTGCTCAAATCTTCATACAGAAAGATTTGAAGTAATATTTTAACCGCTAGATGAAGAGCAAGCGCATGGAGCGACAAAATGAATAAAGAACAATCTGCTGATGATCCCTCCGTGGATCTGATTCGTGTAAAAAATATGCTTAATAGCACCATTTCTATGAGTTACCCTGATGTTGTAATTGCATGTATAGAACATAAGGTGTCTCTGGAAGCATTCAGAGCAATTGAGGCAGCGTTGGTGAAGCACGATAATAATATGAAGGATTATTCCCTGGTGGTTGACTGATCACCATAACTGCTAATCATTCAAACTATTTAGTCTGTGACAGAGCCAACACGCAGTCTGTCACTGTCAGGAAAGTGGTAAAACTGCAACTCAATTACTGCAATGCCCTCGTAATTAAGTGAATTTACAATATCGTCCTGTTCGGAGGGAAGAACGCGGGATGTTCATTCTTCATCACTTTTAATTGATGTATATGCTCTCTTTTCTGACGTTAGTCTCCGACGGCAGGCTTCAATGACCCAGGCTGAGAAATTCCCGGACCCTTTTTGCTCAAGAGCGATGTTAATTTGTTCAATCATTTGGTTAGGAAAGCGGATGTTGCGGGTTGTTGTTCTGCGGGTTCTGTTCTTCGTTGACATGAGGTTGCCCCGTATTCAGTGTCGCTGATTTGTATTGTCTGAAGTTGTTTTTACGTTAAGTTGATGCAGATCAATTAATACGATACCTGCGTCATAATTGATTATTTGACGTGGTTTGATGGCCTCCACGCACGTTGTGATATGTAGATGATAATCATTATCACTTTACGGGTCCTTTCCGGTGAAAAAAGGTACCAAAAAAACATCGTCGTGAGTAGTGAACCGTAAGCAGCAATGCAACTGGTGGACACATCAGGGAAGAAGGTGCGAGCTGATGGATTTTACTACATTGTTCCAGCATCCTCTGATGTAGGTAGCCTTGCTCTCTCAACCACCGGTCAAGACTGTCCTCTTGATGTTGTAGCTGTTGATGGTTACCGAGGCCAGTATTTGTCCTTATCTTGTTAATGATAAGAAAGGTGTTGTTCGTGTTTCCACTGATCTCAACATCTATTTCTCCACCTACACAACTTGTCCACAATCCATAGTGTGGATGCTTAAGGACTATGATTATTCAACATCACAGTGGTTTGTGACTACTGGTGGTGGTTTCGGCAACCCTGGTCCTGATACCATCAGGAATTGGTTCAAGATTGAGAAGTACGAAGATGCTTACAAGTTGGTTTATTGTCCAAGTGTGTGCAATGACTGCAGTTATCCATGCAGTGATATTGGAATATACCAGGATCAATATGGCAAGCGTTTAGCTCTATCTTCTCAGCCATACAAAGTGCAGTTCCAGAAGGTTGAATCCTTTTAATGCTGAATACCTAAATCTTAATCAATAAGTGTAATGCACGACACTACTAAAAAATGACTTATTTTCTCAAGAAATTTGGTTGAATATGACTTGAATATAGCTTTGTTTATTCATATTGATTATTTTTTCTTGTGCAACATCATCTATTTATCGTGACTTATTGTTATTCGTAATTTTAAAAATATATCGTAATGCAGATGTGCAATTGTTGAGAGAATAGTCACTGATTTAAATTTCTTGCGTAAATATGTTGAGAAAGCATTCTTAGATTTTTTTCTTGGTGAGTGAATTCATTTTTATTTGTTTGTCTGAAAATATGATTTTGATAATAGGTTATTTTTTATTCTTAAATAAATCATTAAATATGATATTATATTCTGGACTATAACGTTGAGAACATATTCTACATTCATTAATTAAGTAATATTAACCAAATAACATTCACTATTCCATCAACTATAATAAATAAATGTGCACTTATCTCACCATGCAGACCACAAAAAAGACAAGACATATGATTACATTCTTCCTCAAATGATCTATGTATGGTTGGCATTCTATTCCTCATCACTCTCCAAATCATAAGTGTCTTAATTTTCCATTTTGAGAGAATAACTCAAATAATGATGGACTCTGTAAGCTCTCTTACCTCAACACAAGTTTAGATCTTGGTAAATTTTTAAATGTGTAACACATCACCATTCAACATTGAGTTTAGATCTTGGTAAATTCTCAAATGTTACACCACATTATTCAACATTCAGATTAACAACATAAAAACATCAAATTTCCAATATAACAACTAAATTCTTAAGAAGACTTCTGAGTACTGATTTTCAAGCATGGTTAGCTTGAATATTCTTCTTCCAGTCTTCAATTAGCCTCTTAACGATAACCTCGCAACTCCCACCAACATCAGCAGCATTTCTTGCTGCCTTCTTCATTTCGTTCACTTTGACCCTCAAAGATTCATTGTTCATCATCTCTTTGATTCTGTTAGAAATCTCCTTCCCTCTCACAACATCTTGTGATCCCCACCCCCAATCCTCAGGCCAAATCCCCACTCCACTAATCCTTATGCACTCTGAGCTTATCTTCTGATCCCCACCCTGAGGCCATGTCAGAACAGGCACTCCTTCCAACACAGCCTCAATTATGGAGTTCCACCCTCCATGACTCACAAACCCCCCCACTGCAGGGTGCCCTAGAATCTCCATCTGGTTCACAAACTCCTTCACAACCACACCCTTTTCCCTCACCTTACTCATCAACTCACTCCCCAACACATCCTCCAAACCCTCATCCTCTTCTCTGTCAACCCTCTTCAATTTCACCACCCACAAAAAACTATGCCCACATTCTATTAACCCCAAAGCCAAGTCTTTTATCTGTTCCCTCCTTGTGTCAATGTTGCTCCCGAAACTAACATACACCACCGACCCTTCAGCTTGTTCATCAAGCCACTTCAGTATCCAACTCATGCAACCCCTTTGACCTTGATCCACATTCTTAAACTCACACTTCCTTAAGGGACCAATGCCATATACCGGAGGCAACCCTTTAACCACTTTTCCTTCATTCAATGCTGTTAGTGCCTCTCCTTCCAGTTCCTCAAACGAGTTGATCAAAATCCCATTGAACTTCGTGAGGTTGTGACTGTCCTCCACGACCATTCTCTGAAAGGAGTTGCTACCTAGCAAAGGGGGAGGGACAGAGGATCTTGGTATTGGTGATGTTAAGCCCGGGATTTGAATAACATCACCAATGAACGTAGAAGGACGTGGTTGTGCAGCTGTATCGGAAGCAGCAAGAAAAGAAAAGTATGCAACGAAAGACAAGATTCTAGCTCCTGGGGTGAAGAAAATGTAACTGGGACAGGAGAGTTTCTCAACAATTGGTACTAGAGGAGAAGTAAAGAAAAAATCGAAGATGCAAGCTGAGAGAGTTGTTGAAAGAGAAGATAGGATTGGAGATAGAAGGTGAAGCGAACGACGGATGACTTCAAACTGAAGAAAAAAAGGGTCGCTGGTGTTAGCAGTGGTTGGATCCACAGGGATGATGTTGAAGTCAATTTGAGTTACTTGGTTGGGGAAAGATGAACAAAAATGAGAGATGAGGTTTGACTCAGCGAGAGTTAGTGTGGGTTTGGGAATGACGATTGTAACTTTGCAACCATAGCGAATGAACAATGCTGCTAGTCTGAGAAATGGGTTGAGGTGACCCATGCTAGCACTTGGGAAGAAAGCCACATGAACTACTGCTTCAGAAGCAGACATTGTTTTTTTGGTGTTTGATCCCAAAAAGAGTGATTGGTAGCTGTTGTTAGTTACAGGAATGTGGGATTTTATAAGGAAAAAATATTTTTTCACACTCAAAATTTTCAAACATTCCATAAATAATCCTACCATGTTAATTTTTTTCTTCCGGCTGAAAAATAAATAGATAAATAATAATATATAAATTTAAAAATAATCGCCTATTAAATGTTTGAAAAAAAGGGTAAATTTTCAAATTATCAGAGCCTCAATGAAAAAATTATTCAATGGAATATCTATTAATTTATTTATTCAAATAAATTTATTTATCATTCATATATAATTTTTTTCTCTCTCATAAATTTTTTAATATTTCTTTCTTTTCATTCCTTGTTTTTTTTTTCTTTTCCATCGTAAATCTCTTAATTTCTCTCTTTCCTTTTCTACAATTTCTTCTAATTAAGCTATCATATTAAAATTTAATAAAAATATTTTAAAATCAACAATAAAACTAAAAAATATTAATTATTTTTTTAATAATTATAGATTAAAATAAAATAATTTTATTTATTTTGACAATAAATAATTAATTTAAAATTATTTTATCATAATAAATCATTATTCATCTTATTAAAAAAATATCAAATATTTATAAGTTAAATATATTTTTTATTTAATAATTTAATTTAGTTGTAATTAGATTGAGTTATGATAATTAGTTAGATTAGATAATTTTAATATTTTTATTAAAATTACATTAAAATAAATATTTAATTTGTTTTTAATAATTATAACATAACAATAATATTCATAACATTTCAAATTTATCATATAATATTTTTAAAATATAATATATTAAATTATAATATTTCTAGATCATTTAAATATTTTTTTAATAATAATAAAAAACTCATTTTATCAAATTTTAATATACTATTTTTAATTGAAGAATAAGATGGAATGATAGAAGAATTAAATATAAAAAAAGATAAAAATAAAAGAAAACAAACACACACAAAAATGAAGAGAAAGAAAAATAACAAATTATATTAGAAAATAGAAGAAAATAGTTGTATTATGTCAAACAAAATTATATTCTCTCATTTAATATTGTGTATGAATAATAAATCGGTTTAGTTGAGGTAAATAAACTTAGAGAGATTTTATTTAAACTAATTTTTCTTTTTAAATATATTATTTATGAGATTAATTACAAAAAATAATTTAATAAAACTTAAAAATATCTTTTTAAAACAGATATAATATTTTTAATTTTATCTTTTTTCTATTATCTCGTAATGTTAATTAAAAATAATAGTTATTTTATTATAATCTATGATTTTTAAATTAAAAATAATGTCATATATTCGGATATGTTAGCTTATTTTACCTTTGTGAAAAAAAAATCTTATTGGTTAAATACTTAACATTATCATTTTAGTTCACAATTATCATTATTTTATTCTCTATTATATATTTATAATCTTTTTGTAATTTAAGGGATCATAATATCAATTTTAACTGTTATTATAATTATTTTTTTAATAAAAATATTGTTTTATTAATAAATTTATTATATTTTATATTATAAAAAATATTATTTTATTAAATATGATTAATCTTTAAATCCTAAATTCATGATTTTAGTTATTGAATGACCAATTGTACAACATTTATTATACCAATAAATATATTATATAAAATTATTAAAAATTATAAATCATTATTGTATAAACATAAAATAAATATATATGACATCAAATATATTTTAAGGGTATATTTTTTATTATAAAAATAATTAATTAATACATTTAATTTATATTATAAGTTATTTAATAATACTTTTAATATTACTCTTTCAATTTAAATTTGATAAACTATAATTTATTTCATCATTTACTCTCTATTTTTTTTTCTTTAAAAATGAATTACAAGTTTTTCTTATATATCTCTTAAGATCAATCTAATTTTTCTTTCCACATTTTAACATCAAAATATACATTATAAAACATTAAAACATTTAACTCATTAATAATAAATAATACACATGTTAGAATAATAAACAAAAACATTATAACAAAATTTTCTTTTATAATTCTAATAATTATATATATATATATATATATATATATATATATATATATATATATAATTTGGTCACCTGTATTCAATTAATTTATCATTAATTATTTTAGAAAAATATTTTTTTTCTTTTTCTCTTAATAAAACTTTAATTTTATTATAAAGTTCAAACTTAGAATCCCTTCTTAAATAATTATTAATCTTTTAAATATTTTTATATCTAATGTTCATTCAAATAGCTATAAGACATTAAATATCCAAAATCATAATATAACAATTATTTTATCAATTAATATAATAATCTCTTGTAATAAAAAATATTTACTTTTTTAGGAATTTTCTAATAATAATTCAAGATGGATAAAATTTTTTTATTTAAATCAGTTCAATGATTATATCCAAGTTATATTATTTTCATACAAATAAACAATGTCTATTATATATATATATATATATATATATATATATATATATATATATATATATATATATTCATCTATCTAAATTATGAACAATTTAGATTATAATTATACAATATTTATTTTCATTGTTTTAATCTCTAACAAATATTAATTTATAATTAAAAATGTTATAAAAATAATTATTATATTAAATTGTATAAATATAATAAATAAATAAATTACTCTATTATAAAATCAAAATCTTGGACATACAATTAGATTTTGTGCCAGACATAGTTTTTGGTAACGGTTGTTAATTAGTTGAAGGAAAACAAAAACGTGGGATTTTGTTTTATAAAATTGATAAAACTTTGAATATGATTAGCTGGTGGTGGTTGTGGTAGCTGTACATATTTATAAATAAGTCCATAAAAAGTTATATAAAATATCCTCTCATAATTTTGTTCATATTTTTCATTCATTGTTAGACTTTAATATGAAAAATATCTTATTTTGTACCGATTAGGAATGTTCAAATATTTAATTTGTATCTCAAAAATATTCTGCATTTTTTTAAATAATTTCTAAGTACATTCATTAAATATTATGTTTACATCAGTCTAAGCATCTTAAACCACAATTGCTAAAAAAAGTTGTGAAAGCTAGAAATATTGAATAAACATGATGATTAATCTAGGTTTTATTGTAACAGGATGAAATAGATTATATATGTATATATATATATATATATATATATATATATATATATATATATTTGTAAATTAAGGTTAGAAAGTTATTATCTTAGTATAACCGCTGTTTTAAAAATCAGACTTATAGGTTGAAACTGTCTAATTGAAAATCAGAAATCAATTTATTATTTTTAAATAATTAAATTAGGATAAAATTAAAAAACTTAACACAGAAGTGATCAAATAAAAAGAACTGATTGAATATTTGATTAAACTGATTTTAGTAAAAAAATTAAAAAATATATATTTTTTAAAATATAATATATTTTAATTTTTTATCTCATATTATTTACCTCAATTTTAAATAATAATTATTTTATTTTATTTTATTTTAACTATTATTTATTTTATATTATCTTTAATTATTATCTCTCTTACGTTTTTTTTCATATTTTACGTTGTATTTATATATTTTATATTTTTGTAATCTTAATTATAATTTACAATGATAATAATTATTATTATTTTTTATTTTATAAGAAAATATTATTATTAATAAATTTATTATATTATAAAAATATTATTTCATTAAATTTATTATTATAAAAATATTATTTTATTAAATTGAGTTACATCCTATTCAACCTAAATTAAATCTTCAAACCTAAATACATGTATTTACAGTAATCTATTCAGTTTGAAAAACATCAATTTACTATTATATTATGTATTATTAATTATATTAAAATATGTCTATTTATGCAAAAGGAATTCACAAACTGTTGCTCTATATTAAAACAAAGTATATTAAAATCCTTTGTCACGTTTATATAATTTGTAAAGATTTATAAAAATTATTGAAAATAAACCTTTATTAATGAATGAACTATTTGTAGTGAAAAAGAAAAAACTAATTATAAAAATTAAAATATAAAAAGATTCTTGAAAGGCTGAAAATGCATTAAATCATAATCTGGAATTTAAAAAACAATAAAAAATAACCTGTGAAGGAAATAGTTAAAGAAAATATAACTTCTAACAATACAATTTTATGAAATACGTGACGTTAAAAAAATTTATGAAAACAAAGTAGAGGACTTCATCCAAGTTTAAAAATTTATATTAGCCTGATTTTTTTGAAAATAGTATCAAATTAGATAACAAACTATATTAAACATTTGAGTTTTTTTATCGTATAAATATTACAACTTTTCATGTTATTTTGTATAACTTTTTTTAATAACTAAATTACGTTTTATAAAATTAATGTAAAATTTTAACTTAATATGTCTAGATTTAGTTATCTATATTATATTATATTATAATTCAATATATAGAGTAGATATTTATTATTTACTTATTTATTTAATATAATTTAATGGTTGAGATTAATTAAATAAAATTATTATATTATAAAAATAATGTGTAAATAATTTGTAGGAACTGAAGTACCAAGATAAGATTCAATCAAAGACTTATAGAGATACAAGGTATCTTTATCAAACACAAAATCATATTTTACCTATACATTAATTATTGTTAATTTATATATAATCTTAAACATTATCATACATGTAGTTATATATATTTTAAAATATTTAAAATCAACTCTTAAAAAATTATTATTATTTATTAAAAATATAAATATAAATTATCAAGAAATAAATATATATAATGATATTGATTAGAATGGATAATTGAAAAAAACAATAAGATTACTTTATAATTATTAATAGTTGTAATATGAAAAAATAAAGCAAAATATTATCTATTGATCAAATATAGACAATAAGTTTAAAGATTTCACATTTTAAATTTATGACTAAAATTTAACTTGTAAAATTTTAAATTCTCATCAAGATTTTAAATTTTCATTCATATAATTGAAATTATAACGTGACAATAAATTTGTTTATAATATTATTATAATTAAATATAACGTTATCTAACAAAATATATTAAAAAAAATAAAAAAATAGACGTACAAGTAAATTATGGAGAGAACTAAAAAGAAACTTGCATAACTTTGTGCAACCTCCACCTGTTTGGATTGGATCAAGTTGCTGTGTGCGACACACAACTTTCGGCCTTGTGTGCACCCTAAGCACACGGTGAGTCCTATAAGCCACCCTTTCTTTAGATCTCTGAATAAAAAATTCAACGACACAAACCGAGTGCTGCTGTTCAACAGCCAGGCCATTGCATCTCATGGCTAAAGAAAACAAATTGATTATGACCATAATATTAACTTAAATATACTCACTTCTCATATAAATAATGTATGTCTACAAATTGTTCTTTGATAAATAATATATATAATTAATATAACTTAAAAGATAATTTTAACTCCCTTTAAAAAAATATCACATTGACATTAAAGGTGATAATTAAACAAATTTACTTAAAAAAAAAAAGATATGCCTTAGAAAAAATGTTTAACCTTAAAAATACTTAATTATGTTTTGATTGTGGAACATTTTTTTTCTGTCCCCACCTGCCTAAGTTCGAAGACAAAAAGAACAACTTGAAGAAAAAAGAGAAAGTAGAGAGCATACAAGGAAGATGTTCGTTAATCTCACAATAGAGAGCTTAAAAAAGTGGAAATGCACTAGTCTATGTCTATGTGCTTCTTCTTACTTCAGATACTAAACAGACGAAGAACTTCTGCTCTAAGGCTTAAACATGATAAAAGTTAGGCCCTCTGAGGTGTATAAACCAGATTGTATGAGCAGAAATCCATGACTTTGGCCCACATTGGTACATAGATTTAGATCATCCCTGGCTTATATAAACGTATATGTCTTCTGCTTCCATATCCATCTCACTGGAGATACAAGAACACAAAATTAAACACAGAAAAAAATGAAGATGACATTGATAGCATTGGTCCTAGTGGTTGCCTTGAGCACAAAGGCACTAGTTGGTGAAGCAGGTCCTGCCCCAGAGCAAGTGGTGGACACATCAGGGAAGAAGGTGCGAGCTGATGGATTTTACTACATTGTTCCAGCATCCTCTGATGTAGGTGGCCTTGCTCTCTCAACCACCGGTCAAGACTGTCCTCTTGATGTTGTAGCTGTTGATGGTTACCAAGGCCAGTATTTGTCCTTTGAACTTGTTAATGATAAGAAAGGTGTTGTTCGTGTTTCCACTGATCTCAACATCTATTTCTCCACCTACACAACTTGTCCACAATCCACAGTGTGGAAGCTTAAGGACTTTGATTATTCAACATCACAGTGGTTTGTGACTACTGGTGGTGGTTTCGGCAACCCTGGTCCTGATACCATCAGGAATTGGTTCAAGATTGAGAAGTACGAAGATGCTTACAAGTTGGTTTATTGTCCAAGTGTGTGCAATGACTGCAGTTATCCATGCAGTGATATTGGAATATACCAGGATCAATATGGCAAGCGTTTAGCTCTATCTTCTCAGCCATACAAAGTGCAGTTCCAGAAGGTTGAATCCTTTTAATGTTGAATATTTAAATCTTAATGAACAAGTGTAATGCACAACTTGCCCCTTTCATACACAAGCTCAAGTTGAGGAGTTCCTTGTAATGAATTTATAGATGATAAATAAACAAGTTGTTTTCTATTTTCTGTCTTTGAAAACTTCTAGTTTCTATTCATTATTTATTCCTAAAAGTATTACATGCAAGAAATGAAAAAATGGTTAGAGGAAGAGGTGAGAATTAAAAAATAGAATTCAAATTTCTTATTGAACTTTTTATACCCTTATCTAATTAACAACATTCTAGATTTTACTTAGAAAATTAAGAGTTATTTTAAACTCTTTTTTATTTTAAATTATAATAACATTTCTTCCACTTAATTTAAAATTTTCTTCTTCACATAATTAATGTTTGTTGTTAACTTTGAAACTCTTCAAACTTTAGGAACTTAGTGAAGAAATCTGTAATTTGATTTTAAGTTTTGATGTACTTAAGTTCCAATTCTTTTTTCTTAATGAATTCTCTTATATAAAATGATATTTCATGTTGATATGCTTTTTTTTTTTTTATCATGAAATACTAAATTATGTGTAAGAGCTTGTTCATACTTATATGCAACTTTTTTTTAACTTCGTGACAAATGAAGTTCTTTAAATAATATTCTTAACCTAATCACATGACTAGTATCCATGCGAGCTATGGTACATAAACTTTATCATAGTTTACTTTATGTTTTTGCTTGTTGTCTTTTACAACAACTAGTGTTTTATATTTTTCCACCGCTTTATTAGTATTTTTTTCGCCTTATATTCCTATTTTACTACCATTGTTTCATGATTTTTGAAAATAGTTGTTAATTCTTAGTACTGTTTTCCTTTAATGAGATCTCCCCACCTTTTATCTTTCACATCTTCCTAAAAATACAATGACTCACTATATAGTTGAAGACAATACAATTCTTCAAGATTATAAGTGATTTCATGAGACCTTTCATAGATTTCATATATATCGTGTGTCTTCCTTAGTCTTTCACTTCTACCTTCTTCTTGGGCATGAGATGCATGTGATGAAGGGAGTGAACGAGGAGGAGTAACATGTTGAATTATAGTTTTTTAATCTTCTTCTTCTTTGATATGGAAGAAAATCATAGGTCTTTTCTTCTTGAGTCTCCTAATTCCAAGTAATTTTTTCATCAAATTTAACATCACGACTTACTACCACTTTATCATTACACTAACATTATAATTTGTAGTCTTTGGAATGAGCGTTATAACCAATGAAGACATGTTTGACACATTTGTCATCAAGCTTGGATCTTTCTTGTTTCAATACATGAGTGTATGTTCTACTCCCAAAGATACACACATAATTAACACTAAGCTTCCTTTCACTCCATACTTCTTGAAGAGTTTGATTTTTGAGTTACATGTTAGGGAACAATAGACCACACAAGAAACAACTTCAACCCAAAACTTCTTCAACATATTTTTTAGATTTTAACATGCATCTGACCATGTTGACACTACTAAAATATTTTTATTTTTATTTTTATGGGATTCTTTTACCAAAATTTTGTAAAAATTAGCAGAAAATAAGTTTCTTGCAAATTTTCATACAAATTTTTATTAGTACGTAATTAGCTCATGGATAATAAATTATCTAGGAATTTAATATTCACAAAAATTTCCTACAAAATTTTTTGTGACAAAATTCATATGTAATTTTTTGTGAAAAAATTCATAGTAATTTTTTGCAAATTTAAATTTGCATATAATTTCTTGCAATTTAAATTTGCATGTAATTTTTTGCCATTTAAATTTGCATGTGATTTCTTATCAATTTAAATTTGCATGTAAATTTTTACCAATTTCAAATTTGCAAGTAATTTTAAAGTTATAAATAATTTCTTGGTAATTTTAGATTTGCAGGTAATTTCTTATGTAATTCACTACAAGAAAAATTAGATTTTCCAACGGACAAAATTCGTCGGTAAATACATATTATTGACGGATATAAATCCATCGGTAATTATGTTGTCGGTAAATATTACCGAGCGGATTTGAAAAACCCATTAATAAATAAGGCACATTTTTATTTATATTTTATTATTTATTAAATTATTTAATTTATAACCCCTCTCTGGACCTACTTAGAGTTGGAGGTCGATACTCCAATCACTAGAACTACTAAGATTTTTTAATAATAATTTACAAAAAAATTATATTTATATACAAATAAATATATATCCATGTAAATATATAAATATAAAATATACAAATACAAATATATTTATATATTTATATATTTTGATATATTTATATATATTTATATAGTTATATATTTATATGTTGGATATGAGGAGCGCTCGATAGTGAAAGTGTGTGTCGTGTTTATTAGAATATATTTAAAATTAAGTAATTATTATATAATTTTAAATATTTAATTTTAAATATTTAATTTTTTTAATTTAATGTTGATTTTTACTTGACGGATATATCCGTCGGTAATTATTTATTTATTTACCAACGGATATATCCATCGGTAATTAATTGTTCATTTTCCAACAGATTTATTGATGGATATATCCGTTGGTAATATAAGATTTTTTTGTAGTGATTATTTTTTTAAGAAAACTTACAAAAAAAATTGTATAAATTTAAATATATATATATATATATATATATGAAATTGACAAAAAAATCTTTATTATATATTTTATTTAATTACATTATTAAATAATTATAAAAGAAAAATTATTTGTTTATTTGACTAAAAATCTAAGCTAAAAATAAAATTAACATGAAATGTTTTTTTAAGAGAATTATTTAGTCTTACATCAACATGATCCCTATGAATTATAAGACAAAACATAAACAAAGTAAAATACTATTATATAAATGTAATTATCACAAATGCATGAAATGAAATTATCAATGTTTGAAAACATAAGATTGTCTTGAAACATGAGATTCATTTATACGGAAAACCTTGTTCCCTTGCATTGTTGAGTTCTTAGGTATTCAAATAAACTACATTCTCCATTGTTGAGCAAACAATTTAGTTTGTATTAATTTGAGAAGGGTAGCATCGAGGAAAAGTTACAAAACATAAATGATGTAACACCTTGCAGGAAAAGTTCACCAAATTTCCTACAAATAATATTACTATTTAAAATTAATGTAATATTACTACTATTCATTTTAAGATTGTACTTTATATTTCATTTATAGCAAACAATAACAAGAGTTCAAAATTAACTAAGAATCTAAATTTATAATTACTTACAAATATACTTTTACTTGCACAAATTTTGGTAGAATATCTCCAACCTTATTAGACTTGAAAGATCTTCCGTGCACAATGATATTTGCTTAGGTAATCTGAATAATAAAAGACCAACAATTGCAATGCAAATTTTTGTCATTGTTAGAATCATATCAAATCTTTAATCTTGAAATTCAAATGAAAAAGTGTGAATGACTAAACTTAAATATTAAAGTATCAAAACAATATAAATGATTAAAAACTTTAAAACCTTGTAAAAAAGGCATCAAAGCAAATCATTGTTGTTGTCAAAATCACATCATGTATCTTTAATTCCCTGTAATTTTATTATCATCTTCAATAATTAAGTTAAGTATTATAATAAATCAAGAATAAAATTTTAAATATTACCACCTTCAATATGATCATTGTCTTCATTATCATCATTTTCATTGCTATGTTGAGATGATGAAAATAGGTAGGAAGAAGATGCAATAAACCATAAGTGTTGCATTAAGGCTGCTACCTAATTCTTAGTTTCGATAAACTCTTTTTTCATTTTTTGCTTATCTTTTTTTTTTTTGTCTTTGTAACTTTTGTCTCATTTCTTGTTTTTCTTGTTCTTGCATATGTAATGATTCATTTAAGGCTTAAATTTGACTCCTTAAAGCATCAAAATTTTCAAAATTTGACTTCTTAATTGAAGATATGATTAACATTTTGCTTGGAGATCCAAGACCAAATATTCTTCCCTTATTTTTTTCTAAGCTGAATCAATCCATATATCCAAATATGATGGCATTTGGCTCATAGATTGTTCACCATCAATTGCATCCTCTCCAAAACTATGAGCTAATAACTCATTTTTCTTTTGTTCAAATTTCTCCTGCAAAATGAAAAGGTACTTAGTGAAAATATATAAATAACAAAAGTGAGTGAAAAATGTTTAATCTTTTAAAATATTTTATCATTCTTTCAAAATAAAGAAATGAGATAGCAATTTTACATAAACTTAGTATCTTGATTTCTTTATTTTTACTTTTCGATGCTCTATCGAGTATCGACCAAAATATCGGGGTCATTATCATTGAAAAGCAGGCATAGTCTATTTCCTACATAGTAAATACTATACTATTCCAGCTTTATGAATGACTTCGAGGATAGTGCGACTAAAGTGGATCTCCCGATCAACCATTTTATATTCCACTTGTCAATTTATTAATACGTGCAATTTATTAAAGGTAATGGCAGTTTGCTTAACCAATTAATGTAATGTTGTAATATGTCAACCTGGTGGGAGCCATAAAAATTTGTATTAAGTCCTAATTATCATATCAATCATCTTCCCCACTGGGCGGATATTTCGAGATCAAACAATTGCGCGACGACTAGTATATCGTGAAGAAAATGGATCCACTCCTATCAAATTTTAACCGAGATAAGTCATGTTAAAATTTTATACCTATTTCTCTCTAGATAGATTGATAAATATGGATCTAGCCATTTAATGTTTATTGTGAAAGAGATACACACAAGGATTTAATATAACCTATTATATATCCTGTAATCAACACAATGATAAATCTAGAGAGTCTCTTAGCGATAAAATCTTAATATTAATGCAAAGCTAATTAATAGATAACTACTTTCATATTTGACTATGTGCTTATCACTACCAATGTGTTTATCAAATTGAAAACTTACAAAAGCAACTTTGGCATGAGGACCAATCCAACTTTGATCCTTCTTTCTCTGATGTGTACGAAAATAAAACTCAGTCAATGATGGGTCTATTCCTTTTTCCTCTTCTCGATAATAAAGAAAGTTTAATCTTATTAATTCTAAAATGTAAATTATAAAAAACAAAGTAAGGTAATAATATCATTATCTCCCAATGTAAGCGATGAGGTATTGATCCACCTGTATGAAGAGATGCACCATCCAAAGCTACCCGATTTCTTTTATTTGTTCCATACTTCTTTTAAAAATTGTAGATTCCCAATGTGTCTTTAATTATCCCCACATATTCTCTCCTATCCAAATGGGTTTTTTCTCTAGATCTTTTCTAGCATCTTGCATTAATTGAGACATTTTAGATGCACCTCTTCTCTCAAAGAAAAACATATCACATTTATAATCTCAAAAGCTAAATAATATTGTCAACAATACTAGTATGTAATAATAAGATAATATTATCATGTATCTTAATGTTAATTTTCATCTTCCTCTTCTTCCATTAATCTTCACTTTCATTATCATCATCATCAACTACTTTGTTTTATTGTGGCAACTTAGGAATAGTCAATGAACGAAGAATTCCATCAATTCTACAAAAATAATTGACCTTCCTTAAAGTGAATTCTCCTCTTTGATCGGATCTCAAAGCTTTGATTTCAAAATCACTCTCTTTCTCAACTAGAACCTTGAAATTCTTGAAAGCAATAAAAGTTATCAATGAAGAGTAAAAAATATTTATTCCAACTGAATAAAGGTGGATTGATTAGATGACATACATTAGTATGTACAAGTTGAAGTAGCTTGGTTGTTCTTGAAGTAGATATTTTCACAAAACTTCTTCTCACATGCTTTCCAAGAAGACATACTTCAAACCATTGATTAGGATTGTTGATTGTAGGAATCCCTTTCACCATTTCTTTTTCTCCCAAACATTTAAGGGATCCAAAGTTTAGTGTCCAACCATCATTTCCAACACCATGATTCATCTTGCACACTCACTTTCAAATACTTTGCTTCAATAGTTTTTAGATTTGAGATAAACGTTTTGTTTCTTAATATGAGTACCTTAGTAATCAAACTTTCATTTTGGTTTTTAAGCCACAAATATTTATCCTTCATGTGAGTCTCATATCCTTTTTCTAAAAGTTGACCTAGACTCAACATATTATCTTTTAACTTAGGCACATCCTCTTCCACAGGTTCTTGATGATAAATTACTTCTTTCTTCATTGTTTAAAGTATTATTACTATTTCCTTTTCCTCTATGTGCATAAGCATGTTCATGTCCTCATTCACTCCTAAATCTTCTATTATTTTTCAAAGAAGCTTGAGCTTTGAGGACTTGCTCCAATGAATCTTCTTAGCTCCCCTTCATTCTTTCTTCATGATCTTATAGATAATCTTTCAATTCTTCAATAATCATGGATGGAGATCTTTTAACTCTTCAATCACACATACCACATAATCGAACTTTGGATTCAAGGAATGAAGGATCTTCTTTACCACTTGAGCATCTTCTATTTTATCTCCATATTTCTCCCATTGATTAATAATCATCTTTAGTCTTGAGCAATAATCTAAAATTAATTCAGATTCTATCATCTTTAAAGTTTAACATCATTCCTTAATGATTGGAGTCTTATCTTCTTCACTTTGTCAACACCATAGAGTGATTTTTTTCAAGATCTCACAAGCTTCCTATGGTAATATAGGCAACCTTCTCAGACATGAAGTCATCCAAACACTGATTAATGAGAGTAAGTGTTTATTGATCTTTTTTCCTTATTTTTAACAAAGTCTCTATCTAATTTTGAGATAATCTTTCTTCATCTCGTCTAGCCTTTTTCTATAATCTCCCAAGCATCTTGAAAGTTAAGGTATATCCATTATTTGGTATCTCTTAACTCTATTGTTAGAAGAAGATATGAAAAGTAAAAAAAAAAAAGAACTCAAATTTCCTTGCTTGAAAATGCTAAATACAACAAGGTATTTACAAATATAAATATATTCTTTTCTAAGATCATCTCTAGTTATATTTTCATTTATAATTTTTTTATCCTTTTATAATTAACTATTTTCTAAATGTTAAACTCAAACTATTGTAGACATTTTTTTATTTTAAATTATAAAAATGACAAAAAAAATATTTTTCAATTCTCAAGTTAATAAATATTTATTATTTATGTTTGTCATTAAAAAAATAATATTTTTATAAATACAAATAAATATAATAATGTGAGGTAAGATATTTTTAATATTTTGAGGAAAGATATTCTAACATCATTTTATTAAAAAAATATACGGATGAAAATAAAGTTATTGATTGAAATTGAAAAAAATAAGAGTGAAATGAAAGAAAAAATTACTTCTTATGAGAATTATGATTTTGTATGATCATTTGAGATAGTATAAAAAAATTACAATTCATTATAAAAAAGTTATATTCGTTCTTTTTGGATTTTTTTATAACAATTATAAAATGGATATAAATCACATGAAATAGAAAATAATTTTTTTATATTAATCAAAGATAATTATAAAAAATAAATATATTATCACAATTCTAACTAATTTATATTTATTATTTAACAATTTATTTAATATTTCCATTTTAATATATTTTTTCTACTAGAATTAATATTTATATTGATGTGATTTATCTATTTTATGTTAAATTTATTTTAAATTTAATGGCATAAATTGAATTGATGAAAAATAAATGAATTTAGATTTTTATATTTAAATTTAAATTTTAAAATATTAATATTTTAAAGTATAATATTATCGTTGATAGTTTAGATCTAGATCGGAGTAAAATTTTAAATGTGTCAGAGGTCACCATTCAACATTGAGTGTAGATCTTGTCTTGCTAAATTCTCAAATGTTACACCACATCATTCAACATTCAGATTAACAACATAAAAAAGTCAAATTTCCAATATAACAACTAAATTCTTAAGAAGACTTCTGAGTACTGATTTTCAAGCATGGTTAGCTTGAATATTCTTCTTCCAGTCTTCAATTAGCCTCTTAACGAAGACCTCGCAACTCCCACCAACATCAGCAGCATTTCTGGCTGCCTTCTTCATTTCGTTCACTTTGACCCTCAAAGATTCATTGTTCATCATCTCTTTTATTCTGTTAGAAATCTCCTTCCCTCTCACAACATCTTGTGATCCCCACCCCCAATCCTCAGGCCAAATCCCCACTCCACTAATCCTTATGCACTCTGAGTTTATCTTCTGATCCCCACCCTGAGGCCATGTCAGAACAGGCACTCCTTCCCACACAGTCTCAGTTATCGAGTTCCACCCTCCATGACTCACAAACCCCCCCACTGCAGGGTGCCCTAGAATCTCCATCTGGTTCACAAACTCCTTCACAACCACACCCTTTTCCCTCACCTTACTCATCAACTCACTCCCCAACACATCCTCCAAACCCTCATCCTCTTCTCTGTCAACCCTCTTCAACTTCACCACCCACAAAAAACTATACCCACATTCTATTAACCCCAAAGCCATGTCCCTTATCTGTTCCTTCCTTGTCTCAGTCCTGCTCCCCAAGCTAACATACACCACCGACCCTTCAGCTTGTTCATCAAGCCACTCCAGTATCCAACCCATACAACCCCTTGGACCTTGATCCACATTCTCAAACTTACACGCCATTAAGGGACCAATGCCATACACCGGGGACAACCCTTTTACCACTTTTCCATCATTCAATGCTGCTAGTGCCTCTCCTTCCAGTTCCTCAAACGAGTTGATGAAAATCCCATTGAATTTCATGAGATTGAGACTGTCCTCCACGAGCATTCTCTGAAAGGGGTTGCTACCTTGAAGAAGTAAAGCGGAAGGGACAGAGGATCTTGGTATTGATGATGTAAAGCCCGGAATTTGAACAACATCGCCAATGAAAGTAGAAGGGTGTGGTTGTGCAGCTGGATGGGAAGCAGCAAGAACAGAAACAAAAGCAATGAAAGACAACATTCTAGCTGACGAAGGGAAGAAAATGTAACTGGGACAAGAGAGATTCTCGGCAATTGAAACTACAGGAGAAGTCAACAAAACATCGAAGATGCAAGCTGAGAGAGTCTTCGAAAGAGAAGATAGGATTTCAGATAGAAGGTGGACCGAACTACGAATGGTTTCATACTGAAGGTAAAAAGGGTCATTGGTGTTAAATGTTGTTGGATCCATAGGGATGAGGTTGAAGTCAATTTGAGTTACTTGGTGAGGAAATGAAGAACAAAAGCAAGAAATGAGGTTTGACTCTGCCAGTGATACCATAGGTTTGGCAATGATGAGAGTAACTTTGCAACCATAGCGGAGGAACAACGCCGCTAGTCTGAGAAATGGGTTGAGGTGACCCATGCCAGCACTTGGGAGGAAAGCCACATGAGCAACAGCTTCAGAAACAGACATTGTTTTGGTGTGTTTGATCCCAGAAGAGTTTGAGTGGTTGCTGTTGTTAGTTCAAGGAAGAAATTATTTTAGATTTTGTTTTGTAGAATTTAAAAAACTTTGAATAGGAGTGGCTGGTGGTGGTTGGGTTAGCTAAACCCACGTGCGCACACCCATACACATGGTTATGATTAGGATGTTCAAATATTTAATATTTATTTAAAAAATCATTTTTAAAATTATTTGCAAGTATATTTATTAAAAATATGTTTACTTGAAATTCAAAGATCTTTTAGGAATAATAAAATAGAGTCAAATTAGTTAAAAAAATAAAACTGTGTTTGCACATGTAGAACATTGTGAATGCATTAACTAATTGATTAAAAATTTATGCTAAAAATATATTAAAATCAACATTTTTAAAATTCGATGAAAATCGATGAAGTCAGCAAGTTTAACATGAATCTAATCAAATTTAATAAAAAATATGTTTATAATATAATAAATATATAATAAATTTATTAATAATAATATTTTTTATAAAAAAATAAATAACAAAAATTATTATCATAATTTTTTGTTATTATAAATATAAAATATATATAAGATAAATAATAATTAAAATAAAATAAAATAAAAATATAATAAAATAAGATTAACTTAAGTAAAATAAAAAATTAAAATATTTTTTTATTAAAAAATAATTTTAATTTTTTTATCGACTTAAAAACTTAATATTTGTTTATCAATATTTCAGATTTTATTTTAATTTAATTTAAATCTAATCATTTAAAAATAACATTCTATACAAATTAACCTAACAATTTTCAAAACAGTGACTAAAATTGTACATCTTTCCATGATGTGTGGTGTATAGTGTTAATTAAATTAAAAGCTATGGAGAATATCTTCTACAATCTATCAATAAACTTTAAATAATAAAGTGATAACGAAGGTGATGTTACTTATGACATTATCATAAACAATCTTCGTATAACAACGCATAAGTTGAGATGAACGTGTAAATTGTTTCATATTTTTTATGTGTATTTCATTTTTACGAATAAAAAAATATTCCATCTCATTTGACTTTTATTATCTGTGATGGATATATGTTAACAAATCTTTTTATAAATTTTATGAATAATAATTTAATAAATTAAATATGTTTGAAGAAAAAATTGCTTTAACACAAGACAGCGACAAATAAAAGAATCCACTAAAATTAAGAACCCCTCCTAATCCATTTTCACATTCAATTTTATGTTTTTTCAGACAATTTATCAGGTAAATGTTTGAATAAAAAACCTCATAGATATTTATTGAAAATAAATTATGTCTTAAATTAAATAAAAATATCATTCTTATTTTCTTTTTATAATGACATTGGTATAAAATATTTATTAGACCAGTTAATTATTAATTTTTGTAAAAACATGATTAATGTCAAAAGTTTTTTTCTTTTCCCTCAACCATGCTTTATGCCAATAATGGTAAGTTTATTTTCAAATTAACTATCAAAAATTACTCTTCTTTAAAATGTAGATGCTATTGAATGTATTTTTCTTACCCATAATAAAAAACCAAACTCACATGTTTCAAAAGGTTATTTAGCAACTGTGCTTACTTATATTGTATTGCAGATATCTGTATCAGCATATATTTTTAAGAATCTTGTAATGTATAGATGGGTGCTTGATCTTCACGCATGAGTGGACTTTACTTAATAATCAGATTTAATTAATATTCAGTAATATATTTTATCTTTGCCTTCTAATGATGGATTTCATTTGATAATTCCATGCTTAACAGTGCACGTAATTTCCATTATTTAAGGCCTACGGAACATCATATGAAGTGAAGAAAGTACTATAGTAATGGCACTGAAAATCATTCTTCACTTTACTATCTTACTGATTCTTTACTCAGTGCCAATCATTGAAGCCACAACCATTTTCACCAAAGAGAATAGTACGTCCCTCAACCGAAGTAGTTTCCCTCAAGATTTTATTTTTGGGACAGCATCATCTTCTTACCAGGTACTTGAAAATTTTCAATTGTACTAGTTGAAATTATGTGTATATAGAGGTATATGAGTTCATCAGTAATTCACTTTACTTACACTTTAAACCAGTTTTACACTGTTATCTAGTCATAGACTTCGAGAACATGACTTCTAAGATAATAATTGTAAAAGTAAAAAAACTTTTCATACATAACAGAGTTCAATGTTGGTATAAATTTACACTGATGATGCATAGTCTTTTTCTTGAGATGTATTTATGCATGCATAAATTTCAGTATGAAGGTGCAGCTTATGTTGGTGGCAGAGGACCAAGTATTTGGGATACTTATACTCATGATTATTCAGGTCTTGTTTCTTTGCCTATATTTGATCTTTTATAAGAGTTTCTTGTCAAACGGGAAACAAAATAGATACAAGTCACAAAATTATTCAGAATTTATATATTAATTTGTAGAAAAGCGAGCTGATTTCTCAGGGGGGTATAATATTGTACAGAAATGCAATGTTCTGTTCTGACTTAGCTTTATTGATTTATTTTGTTATAATAATTGTTAATTATGCTTCATTTGTTTGAGATGTTAAAACTCAGTAGTTATGAACTCTGCCATGCATATACTGCCTGAACTATGACAGATAAGATAAAGGACAGAAGTAATGGAGATGTAGCCATTGATGAATACCATCGTTATAAGGTACAATATATATACTTTATGGTCGTGTAATAAAACAACATAGATATAGATAGAGCATAATTGACAAATTTATAAAAACATGATTGATTATGCAGGAAGATGTTGAGATCATGAAAGACATGAACTTGGATGCTTATAGATTCTCCATCTCTTGGTCCAGAATCCTGCCAAGTAAGAAATAGAAAACTTTGCTAACTTTGCATATTAATGTTCATCAATCCCAGTCCAATACAAAATAATTATTTCTTAAATGGATGATTATTCATTAATAATGTTAATCTCTTGGCTAATTAGAAGGAAAGGTTAAAGGAGGTGTGAACAAGGAGGGAATTAACTATTACAACAATCTCATCAATGAGCTGCTAGCCAAAGGTCTTCACCTAATTTTTTTCTTTCATTGCTTTTTTCATTGATTTATGTCTAAAGTAGTTACTTTAATTACATCCACCAATGCAGGTTTACAACCCTTCGTGACCATTTTTCATTGGGACCTTCCTCAATCCTTAGAAGATGAATATGGTGGCTTTTTAAGTCCTAATATAGTGTAATTCACATATCTAACACAAAATAGTCAATGTAATTTTTATGTAAACATCCTCTTACCTTACTATTTTCTTTTCTTTTCCATCAATGTATATTCAGGAAAGATTTTCAGGATTATGCCGAACTTTGCTTTAAGGAATTTGGAGATAGGGTGAAGTATTGGCTTACATTGAATGAGCCATGGACCTTCAGCAAACATGGGTATGCTGAAGGGGCTACAGCACCTGGAAGATGTTCACCCTGGCAAAATCTAAATTGCACTGGTGGGGATTCAGCCACTGAACCTTATATTGTGGCTCACAATCAGTTACTTGCTCATGCAGCTGCTGTTAACATCTACAGGACTAAGTATCAAGTAAGCTTTTGCAATACATTTGTATTTTGATAATTCAATTCATGAAGTGTATGCATTTCCTGAATTAGTATATTGAGACATAAATACTACTATACCTAGGCATCTCAAAAGGGATGGATAGGGATAGCACTAGTTTGTCATTGGACAATACCACTCTATGATACAGAATTGGATCAGCAGGCTGCACAAAGAGCAATTGATTTCATGATTGGATGGTAACTGCTTTATGAACTTAAATCACATGAAACTTTAATATCCTAGACATTGAACTTTGGAGAGGACTAACCATACTTGAATAGCTTCTTCTTTTTTCATTTAAAATTACTGCAATGAAAATTTGAAATGATATTTATCTAGAGAATACATGTATTTCAGGTTTTTGGATCCACTGACAATGGGAGATTATCCAAGTTCCATGCAGTCTCTGGTGGGGAGTCGATTACCGAAGTTCTCTACCTATCAGGCCAGGCTTGTAAGAGGGTCCTTTGATTTTATTGGATTAAACTACTACACTTCCTATTATGCCACTGACGCAGCTGAATTAAGTGAAGCCATGCCTAGCTACCTCACAGATTCTCTTACAATTCTTACTGGTAACTGCATTTATATGAAAGAGAGATCAACTCATTATAAATATATGACAAGACCAAAAAAGTGTTGCTCCTCTAATGTATTAATTAATATAATTCCATTTGGCTTTGATGAACAAAGCATTAAAAAAAAAACAGTAGGTGATCATGATTGATGTTATAAATTTCTGTTAGTGTTATATGCTGTATTTTATGATGACAGATGAGCGTAATGGGATACCTATTGGTCCAAAGGTACGTATGTGAATGATTTAATTGACATATTATCAACTACATATCAATGCTTCATTTCAAAAAGTTACTCTGCTTGATGAATAAAAGAATACCGTACGTTTGTAGGCTGCTTCAGAATGGTTGTCTGTTTATCCAAAAGGAATTCACGAACTGTTGCTCTATATTAAAACAAAGTATAACAATCCTTTGATCTACATCACTGAAAATGGTAATACACCAATTGCATTTACTTTCAATCTAATTGTTAAAGTAGTATTCATATATAAACAATCATTCGTTTTTATTCATACTAATGTTGACAGAGGGAATTAATGCTCATGTTTATTTCCTTCTGATAAATTGTATATAGGAATAGATGAGTTCGATGATCCAACACTCTCACTTCAGGAAGCCCTTGCAGATACACCCAGAATTGATTACTATTATGATCATCTTTATTTTCTTCAAACTGCAATTAAGTAAGTGCTAAAGGTGGTTTCTTTTCTTTCCTAGTTGATACATACATGTTAGTATATCCCTAATCTGAGTTGGTTTTGAATTTATTAGGGAAGGCGCAAATGTAAAAGGATATTTTGCATGGTCGTTACTTGACAATTTCGAATGGACTTTTGGCTACACTTTGAGATTCGGAATTAACTTTATAGATTACAATGATGGACTCAAAAGATATCCAAAACTCTCGGCCATGTGGTTTAAGAATTTCCTACAACACAATATTGTTACATCTGTAGATTCATGTTAAGAAGGTGAATTTCATTAATCATGTATCATGTGTGACGTGCCTAAATATTATAATAATGACTGACGAGCATATTGCTCATGGTCATATTTGTAGACTTAGTCTGGTGGATTGTGTCATGATCCGCATATATGCATATGAGTAGAGTTTGTATATAATGCTGAACAGTGTGTTGTTTGTTTAGAGTTCTGATGTCTAAATATTTTTATGAAAAGAAAAAGAGGAGATCAGCACAAGGATTGACTCCAAACCATCAGAGCACAGAGTAACCCAACGAATGCTGAAAATTGCCAAACCAATTACAGATTTATGAAACATAAACCAAGACAGATTAAAAAAGGGAATAATAAGTTGTAACTAGTGTGTAACTTAAAAGGAGTAAGAACTAGTTAGATTTTAAATATAAGTGTCATCTCAAACCATCATAATAACATAAAGGTGAAACAAAAATTCTACCTGCTAAAGAATTGTATATGGAATGAGATGAGGGTATAACCGTGTAAAGAATAGTATGCCTGGTTAGATATAAGGAAAATATATACTTCAAGATTTTTCTTACAAATAATTGTCTAAAAGAATAAATATACAAACATTATTAATACATTTGATTGAAACATGTCTCTATATGATTCACAAAGATAATTGTTCAGACTTTCGTGACCTGAAATTACCACATTTCTGCAGGACAAAGGAATGAAATGAATGCAGAAATTTTAGTTTCTTGGTCCACTTTTCTGTCATTTGCTTCAATAGCAAAGACCTCCACACCCCAAGTGTTATTAAAAATTACATGCTTCTGATTGCTCCTTAATTCCTTTTAGCAAGTGGCAAAGCTCAGCACTAACATGGAGCGATGTGTCTTCAGCAAAGAATTCTTGAACAATACCATTCAAATTAACCATACTACACCCAGGCCTTTTTCTGACCCTCCTTTCCCTCATCAACTTCCTTATCTCTGAGGCTTCCTTCCACATATTAGCAACACAATACATATTCCATAGAAGCATAAAAACGCCATCATCATTTGGTTCAAGTTCAATTAACTTCTTTCCTGCTATTTGAGCCATGCTCAAATTACCATGGACTAAGCAAGCAGTCAGTAATGATCTCCACATAGCAGCATCAGGGCTAATTGGCATCATCCCAATCACTTCTTTTGCATCTTCCAGCAATCCTGCTCGGCCAAGAAGATCCACTACGCATCCATAATGCTCAATCTTTGGCTTCATGTAACGGCACTGAATCATTCTATTGAACAACACTCCTCCCTGCACAACTAACCCAGCATGGCTACAAGCAGTTAAAACTGACAACAGGGTTACCTCATTTGGGTTAACCCCTGATTCTAACATGCGAGAAAAAGCCTCCAACGCAAGATGCCCTTCCCCATGATAAGCATACGCCGATAAAATTGTTGTCCATGAAAACACATCCTTCTTCCAGATTTCATCAAATATCCTTACAGCCAAGTCAAGCCTTCCACTTTTGGAGTACATATCCATCATAGCATTGCTCACCGCAACATCCAGCTCCAGTCTCCTTTTCTTAACACAACAATGTATACACTGACCAAAATCAACAGCCCCAACATCCGCACAGGCCGAGAGCACCGCCACCATCATATAGGCACAATGAAGAGCTCCCCCATCATCAGCTTCCATCTGCTTAAACATCTCCAAAGCCTGAATTGGAGCTCCTGCTTTGACACACCCAGTAATCATAGCCGTCCAAGAAACTAAATTTCTTTTAGGCATTGCATCAAATATTTCACGAGCACAATTCACATTGTTACACAACATGTACCCGTTCAACAAACTAGTCCAAGAACAGACATCCTTGGACCCCATCTTCTCAAAAACCAATGAAGCCATTCCCATCACCCGATTTCTACAGTACATGTCAATCAGAGCATTCCCCACAACAGGGTTTGCATCAAAACCATTCCTCAACACCATTCCATGAACAACCCTCCCTCTGACCAAATCTTTGCACTGCCCGCAAGAGGATAAAGCTGCAACAATTAGAAAGCTATCAGGTCTTAGACCCACATGCAAGAAGTGGGAAAACGCAGAGAGGGACTTGGAAGGAAGACCAGAATGGAGGTAGAGGTTGAGAAGGCATGTCCATGATACTACATCAGGATCCTTAATCTGATCGAAGACCCTCTGTGCTTCTTCTGTTTTTCCAACATTCTTGTAACTTTGAAGCAACTTGCATGACAAAGTTTGTTGGAGATAGAGATTTTGGGTGTGTAGGAATCCTAGTGTCATACACATTGCATGGATTCGCTTTAGCTGGTCCAGGCTTGCACAACTGTGCAGTGTTCTCTGCAAGGTTACGTATTTCATCAAATAAAATTGGATCATCCATTGTTACAACATCGAAATTAGTACGTACACAAAAATCACGAGTCATCAATACCATACTTGAATTTGGTCAAAGTCTTCTAAATTGTAATGATAAATATTCCGAAATTCATTTATAAAAGAATCATTTTTATTTTTTATTTTCTTAAAAATATTTTACCCTTTTATTTTTAAATTTGAATCAATTTAATCTTTTTAAAATGTTAATCACTTTTTATTTTGAGACATGAATTTGGGTATTTTTTTCGATCAGTTGAAAACGTCAAAAAACTTGTATCATTAGAATTGCTTGTATAAAAACGGTGACTGTGTAAAGATAGTTTGACATGTATTTTGAGTTAGTATGTGCTCTAATTTACCAATATATAAAACTGATTATCTCTCTTCATGTTGTGGATTTAATCCACCTGATTTTAGAATTTTTTAATGAGAACGTGAGCTTGAGAGGTAGGACATGAAAAAGTGAAGTGAAGGCAGAGTTTGAAAAAGTTGGTCTGAGAGAATGAAACTAGAAACATGAGCCAGTTGGAATGAGCACAGGAACTAAATTTCATTTTTGAAAAACTGAGTACTGGCAAATCATAAAACAGAGACAAGGACTGTTCCTGATTTGTGCCATGTGAACAAAGAAATGAAAAGTTCTGATGATTCTTTCTCACAGTCACACCAAAAAGAAAAACCAGTGCCCTACTCTCTTCTGGCTTATTGATTATTCAAAGTCACAGTCCCTCTAACTACACTGGCCACAAAAGCCACCAAACTACACAATGCTGAAGGGTCTTTTCTTCTCTTCACCATTGATGGCAACCTTCTGGAATCTGACATAGTAGGTTTCAATGTTATCTCCCACAGCCATGACTTTGGTTCCATCAGCATCAACAAAGGTTCCCACAGGAGCACACAGCGCACCAGGCACACTGGGGCAGAACTTGAAGCTGTAGATCTCATAGGCATGATCCCCTTCAAGCCTCTCAATCTTGAATTTGCTAGTGATGTCCTGAGGGTTTCCATTAGTGCCCACAAACCAGAACCCTGCCCCTTCCTTGCTGAGCCTCCACACTGTAGGCTGGTTGCAGACTGTGACCACAGGAAAGTTAATGGTGAGATCAGTTAGAGTTGGAATGTGGTCAAGCCCTGATGCAAAGAATGCCACTGGTGAGCCAATGAAAGAAGGGTCACGGATAACATCAAGAGGGCATGTCTTGTTCCTTGTTTGGCCTAGAGTGATACCTCCTTCATCAGCCCAAAGTGGCCACACATAGTACCCCACTCCTGGCACCAAAGGGTTCCCTTGCTTATCCACCACTGGCTCAGGCACAGCAGCTAGAAGTGGCTGTGTGTTGAAGGCCAGGAGAAGGGAAAAACATAGGGGGAGCAAGTGAAGAAACATGGCAACCTTCATTTTCTCGGATTGAAACCAAAGAATGTGTTTGTGTCTATGTCTATGTCTTGTGTGTTACATTCTCAGTAATGCATAATTATATAGTGCTGCATTTAGGCACGTGAAATGATTCGATAAAGGAGTTGTTGATGCTTCAAACATTTTTTTTGTGACATAGAAAATTTGGGTTATGCAGCACGAGGAATAAATTGAATAAATTATGGTGTAGAAATGGGAAAGTTTAAAGAACTCAGAAGAAAATTGCGCGTGGGTAACTATGAAAATAAATATGATTATTTCGGTTCTGAATTATGAATTTATATTATATTTGGCGCGAGGGGCACGAGGGTGCCTCTAACTTTGACGCCATAATAAGCTGAACATAACTTTGTATCATTCAACTATCACTGTTTTATAAATTTTATCATCGCCTTTTTTCTTTCTGTTATCAAAATTTTTAATGGAGGAATATTATTAAAAATGCATAACAAAAAATGTAAAAAATGATATTATTTCACAAAATTAATGATAAGAGTTGGTTTATTTTTAACTTGAATCAGCAATTATTGGAAAAGAAAAAAGGGCACACATAATAATGCTACATTCAGGTAGACTCTTGTTTGGTGCAAAAATGAATCTAGTCTACACACACACTAGAATAAACATGTTTATATACTATATGTTACTTTTTGTATAAGATTTAATGACTTTTAGTTATTATTATTATTATTAAATTGTGAGACTATTATATTGTGACTCTAGTTAGTGAGACTTCAAGGCTTAAAAACTAGAAGTTATAACATGTGAAGTCTTTAACACAAAATTTGAACTACAAAATTATCTCTATTCCACTTTTTTTAAATAATGTGTTAAATTATTTACTAGTTTCTCATATTAGAAAACCAAAGAAAAAATTAATAAATAAATAAAAAATCTCAATGTCCATAATATACCTTGTTGAATAAACTTTATATTTCATTTTATATACTTGAGATTCATTCATTTTAGTCTATGTATATACTATTTGCAATCTTTTTTAATTTCTGATTTTAGCCAGTGAACAAAAGAGAGAGAGAAGAGTTGAATGTATGAAAATTAAAAAAAAAAATAAAAGAAATAAAATGGTATATAGAAATTACAATAAACAATTTTATACAGAAATTAAAAATAAAATGCATACAATTATAGAGACTAAATGAATAATTGAATATCCATTTTACAAATAATATAAACAAAATTATATTGGTCAGCAATTTCTTTTCGACTAATATTACAGGTAAATCAAAGGTTAAATTAAACAAAACGAATATGTTACAGACTCATGAAACAATCTTTTCACATTTTAAGTTATAAACTAAAACCAGCTTATAATCATAACTCGATATTTCACATTTTGAATTCGAAGGCCTAGGACAAATACTGTCTAACAAAATAACAATGTTCTTTGTCATAGATAAGATCATGAAATTAAAATCAATGGTAAAAATGTTTCATTTTTCACAAGATGTATAACAAATATCAGAGCTTATTTTTAGCTCATCATGGAGTAGTTATGAACGTATTGACATTGGTTAAAATCGAAACTCAGATTGTTAAATGGAATTTTCCTGCATGGATTTACCATCCAAGTTCTCCTCATGATTCATCCCATTCAAGCTTTTGTTAAATTTTTCTCCAAGCTTTGACCATTCAGCTCTAATACGTGCCTGGTTTTTCTTGGCCACTTCTAACTCATTTTTCAAGTGAGGAACTTGTTCCCTCAACTCATCTCGTTGAGCTTTGATAATCTTTGCTTCTTCAAAAACTTCTCTTTTTCTCTTTGTACTTGTTACCCTAGCTGATTGAAAAACAGCAATGTTAGCTTTAATTGCATTTATTTGCTCTTCTAGCTCTTTCTTCCTTTTCTCCAAACATGATAACTGGTTGTTTAATTCATTCTCTAAGTACGTAACTTCCTTGAACTCCTTCTTGTTAGCTTCAAGATTTTCTTCAAGTTTATCTGCTTTCGAGATGTTGGTGCTGGCAGACTCTATTTTCCTACTAGCATCGTTGTAGTCACAACTCCAGCGGGTGAATTCTCTAGAAACCTCTAATATCAACAACCTCATTTCTGCTGAGATTCCATCGTCTGCAGACAACTTGGAAAGGTATTCTATGGCAGATTTGATGGTACCAGATTGTCCAGTATGCAATAGATCAGTGAAGTCATTGGAAAGAAGGTCTTGCAGTGTTTTCAATGCTTTCTTAGTCTCTTCACATGGTGTGGTTTTGGATAATTCAGTGTCGACTGTAGAATCTTCGGAAGGAGACATAACCGATGTCTCGGCATCCAGAGAAGCATAAAATGCTTTCATTTCTACATCATCCAGAGTCAGTTCCCCTTTATTCTTGGGAGATTCTATGCTAGGCAGCAAAAGAGGGGAACTAGTTTTTGGATGTGATTCTTGATTGGGACTAGGAGCATTTTCAATGGATGCAGTAGTTGGAACTCGATTATTTGGAGTCTGAAAGAAGCATGGGACTTGTGATTCAGGTTCGACCTTCAACGGGCGAACCATAAGCACTGTGTTTAATCCAGATTCTACAAAATAAGAAAATATAAAGTAGTGATGATGAAAGGTAATCGAGATATGTTTTCTGTGAACAAATCACAAACATGGCCACATTACAATTGGAAGAAAAGCAAAATGCAATTAAAAAGACAGGACAGGAAATCAAGTTTCTTGGGCTGCTACCACAGATATAGCAGAGGGTTTCTCCATACCAAATACTGTAATTTAGCATTGAAGCAAATAGTAAATGTTGTCTAAATCACTCCCTTACTCTATTATAGCTACCACATTAGTTCATCAACAGCAGAGTTTTATCAGCGATTTAAGGCAGACAAAAGCTTACAGACTCATGTGCAGGTGATCAATTATACTAACAAGAAAAGGTTGAAACTTATAACCATTTAGATGCCATTTCCTACCCAATTTTCAAAACATTTTCAACCATTAATCTCACTCAGATTTTTGTATGGAGTGATCTACCACAGAATATTATAGTGGAAATTGCTCAACTATATGGCAGTTAAATGAGTAAAGAAAATTGGAGATAACATCAATTTGGAGAACAAGGCAATGCTTACCTCTGGCACTAGTGGGACCTCTAAAACATGTTGGTGCCATTGAATCATGAGTAACAACATCCAGTGGTTTAGGTCGCTTAGGGCATATGATTAAATGACGCTTTAAATGAGAAGTCCCACAGTTATCTTGCAACAGTTTTCCACAGTGTCTGCAAAGAACTTTACTACCTTCGGTTGTTTGAATTCGCTGCATTTCTCCCCATACTTTAGAAGTCATTTTTGGGCGCTTTGAGTTATTGCAATCATCATATTCATAATCCACCTCAATGCCTATTGTATTCTCATGTGTCATTTTCTCCTGTTAAACAAATATGAACTCAACTTAGCAAAGCAATTTGCAATTTCAAATTCAAATAACATCGCTAACACAAATAAGAATGAGTTCACAAAAACATGAACACTGGCATCTACTATACATCAATAACAACAAAAAGCCCTCAACATTGTTGTGATCTTTTGTCAAAACAAACTAAGTATTTTAGTTACAGCCAAACTATTAACTATTAAAATTTCTTTATGAAAATAAGCAAAAAGATATAGATGAATTTAAACTTGTTTCATGCATATACCATTCAATTCTAAAAGTTAATAAAATCATAAAGTTACAACTGCAACTCAGATATGAAAACACCAAAGAAGTAGCAACATATGACTAGTAGCTCAATTATCCTAACTAAGAACGCACAAAGCAATGTATTGGACTCTTGATACAGAGAATTCAAGTCTTGCAAGCAAAAGTTCCAGAAAAGACAAAAAGAAAATAAAAATATCTCTGCGAGAAAACTTGAACTATAAATCAACTTCCGAACATATTTTTTCCATAGATGTAAATTAGCAAACAACATTTTGCATGCTACTCTTGCATTAAATGCACCATCAGTTTAGACTAGAGTTAAAATATTTGTCTCTAATTTATTTTAGGTTTTCACATATATCCTTCTTCCCTGACAATCATATTGAGATATTTTCAAACATAAATGTGGACATCTATTCCAGTTGAGTTGATATTCAAACCTTCACTGGTCACGTTGTGAGAGACCAGACCCTTTTGTCACACTCAATCCCTATTAGTTTATCACTTATCTCTAATATCCAACACATGATAAATATGTATATTGCAATTAGACCTTCAGGATCTTCTACAATACAAAGATGTTTTATTGTCAATATGGTTTCTTATCCAAAGTATTTGTATTCTATCATTATTAATATTTTTCAAATAACATTCTATCTCTTCATTGACTACTATGATTCTAACAATAACCCTTTCCCATTTTTTTTCTACTTTTCCCTTCTGAGTTTCTTCAACATAAATCCAAATTTCATCAAATACCAAAATTCCAGCTTCCTTTTCAATTTCAATTTTCAAGATTTCGACCCCGGAACAAAATTCACAAGTCCTCTTATTACATCATTTAACCATTGAAATTCAATTATAAGAGACGAAGCCCATAACAAAGAAAAGTGGGTCTCACATCAATTTGCGCACCAAATATTGAAATTGAAAGGAAACTCAAGGCTGTAGCGCAAAGACAACAGGTAAAAATTGATGAACCACAATGCATAGTTACAACAAGAATTGATAAGAAGGGTATGTAGTGTTACCTGGGTTGTGCTGTGAGACAAAGCGCCAATGAAAGTCCAGCCGTAGCAGCTGATAGAGATAGAAACTGTTTCTAACGGAGACAAAGAGGAAGAACAGAAACTATAGGTTTCGGGCTTGGGCCCTGGGCGGGCTATGCGGTCACCGTTTTTGCCTGAGCCCATGGGCTGGAGAATTTGACCAGATACCATCAAATAGTTTTATCTTTTCAATTATAATTATATATTTATATATTTGCAATATATAATTTATATTTTTATATATTTGTAATATATACATGTGTTAATTTAAATGAGTATTAATTTGATTGTCATGGCAAATTTAATGCTTAGTAAATATGATAATTCTATGATATTTTTATTAATCTCAATTATATCATATTAAATTATCATCTACATATAAATAAATTATTAACAAATTGTTGTTATAATATATTTTTTAGTGCATTTACTAAGTTTATGTTGAATAAACTAAACATCATAAATCCTCAAGTTTCAAGCTAATTTTTTAAGGCTATGTAAAATCTTCTTTAATTATATATATTTTTGTTTTACGTAGTATCTTGAAAGGACTATTAATAAAATGAAATTCAAATTAATAAATTCGTTGACCTTTATATTTGTTATAACTAAAATAAATCTCACAGTATTAAGTTTTATTATTTTAGCAAAAAACTTCGTTGTATCTTGAAAATCCATTTTTAAGTATAACTATTAAACATTATTAACTATCATTTCTTTAAATCACCACTTTGCTTATATCTTCACCATGCATAGACTTTTTTGAGCATCCTATGTCTAAATACCATAATTTTACAATTTTTCGTAAAAAATATTATTAACATGAATAACATATTTTCATCGTGAGAATCTTCATGTTTTAATTAAATTATCTTCTGACATCTTAATACCTTCTTTCCTTTGCATTCTTTATCCAAATGACCAAAATTTTTATAATTATAAAGTTGATTTTCTTTTTATCAAACTTTTTTTCTTTATTAAGTAGAATATTTTATTTAAATATTCAATGGATTATTCTCTTTCTTTTAATTTCCTTTGTTTTTCTTAATTTTGCTACAAGTTTTCATTTGATGTTTTTGCCCACAAAATCTTCTTTAAGATGGTTAATTTCTTTCATGGAATATTATTTGTGATGCTTCAAACATGTCTTACAATTCATCAATCTCTTTGTTTTATATATATTTGAACACAACTATACATACTTATGTTAATATATACCTTTGATTTTTTTTCCAACAAATTAACTGTCTGACAAACAATTATTTAACAACAAAATTTTAACTAATTAATTTTTATTTTTTACCGTAGTAGAGTTTTATGGAGGCAGAGATTTATTCATCTAAAATTCAATTTCCCAAGGAAAAAAATTAGATTGTTCTTATTTGAATGAATTTAAACAAATAAAAAAAAGGGGAAAAACATAATATTTTATGTTCTTTGATTGGATAAAATAATGCAAAAAACAAAAAAAGTAGACCCGCAACACAAATAAAAGAATCACCTTCACTAGCCATCATGATATGGGATCGGGGTTTATTTGCCATTGTTTGGTTGTTTAAAAAAGATATTTTTAGCAATAATAATAAAATCTAATTAATTATAGCTTAACAAAAAAACAACCCAGTATTAAAAATTATCTTCTTCATGCTAAATTCCTTTAATTTTGTATATTTTATATAATTTTTAATAAATATTTGTTAAAAAGATTAGTGTTTTTTTTAATCATGATACTGATAGAAATTATTAATGTCAGAAACAACAATATATAAGACAGGAGAATATTGCAAATTCCTCCCTCCTCATATTAGTTATTCTTTACTTAAAATGACATAATTAAAATTCAAACGGTCAAAGTAGTGAAGATCCATAAGCCTTTATTATTTTCTATTATTAGTGCGTCTATGTGTTTATATTTTTTATAATTTTTTAAAAATATTATTCTAAATTTTATTTTTTATTTTATTTTCTCCACACACAAATTTTAAAGTTATTCAATCTATATATATATTTAAGTGATTTAAAATATTTAATAAACTACATTTTATATATCTATATCATATATTTATTAAAATTCAATAAATAATTATTTAAAATTATTATAAAAAAATTATTTTTGTTATTATTTTACTAAAACACGGACGTTAAAATATTTTTTATATAAATAATTTTAAAATATATTTTATTTTCTTTCCACTGTTTAAATATATCTATTTTTCACTAAATATTTTTTTTCCATATTTTTATTATTTTTTAAATATTAAATTATAATCATTATTTTTTTCTTTAAATTATGATAATTTTATTTTTTTCTCTCAAATGACCGAAAAAAAATTAGAAAAGTAAATTCCTTTCATACTTATTTATAGATAAAACCAGTAATAAAATTAATTTAATATTTCTCTTTTGAACATATTATACTAACATACATAACTAATATCCTAAAAACTTTAGTTTCTCACCTTTATCCTTTCTCCACCGGCTGCACTTCTACACCCATGTGTTGTAAAATTGAAATGCACTTACTTCCAGTTACCTTTTGGTGCTTGAAATTGAAATACACTTGCTAGTGTCACAAATGATGAGGAAATTAATGATCCTATGCATTTTTTCTCTTCATTTCAAAGTGTGTATCTCTTGTACATTTGTCATCTTTCTAAAAAAGAAGACGTCCTATAAATTCTAGGAACAGGTTCGGATTATTAGCCATTTAGCAAAACAGAACTTCTTTATTAAAAAACATCTGGACACAACCATATGTCAATTTTTCCATACATAGACTAAGGGGTAACAGTTGACACCGTACCAAACTAGGGTACTTAGCAATGTCATTAGAGAATTAAACAAATACTTGGTTAGAGTATTAACCAAGATTTTATGTTCTTTCAAACCACAGTTTGGTTGCAACATGGGGAACTAGAAGACGATTGTAGCAGTCCAAGGAAAAAAAAGTAAAGGTGTCATAGTTTTGGTTGCACAGTAAGTATTCTCTAGAATACTGGCGATTAGAAGATGAACCGAGGTCCTATCACCAATTAAATGAACATGGAAGGAATGGTTTAGACCACAGTTAAATTGAAGTTGCTACCTTAAACGAGATTTTAGATATCAAGTGAAATATGCAACACTTAACACTGGTTTAGAGAAACATGTAAACAACTTCAAATACTCAATCTATCTTTGAGGATGGCTAAGTTAATATCTAAAGCCATGTTCTTAAAGTACTCAAAACCTTTAGTTATGACTTACAAAACAAAAATTTCAAATAAACAAAGAACGGAAGGACACTGCTTTGAGCACCCAGATTAACAAGCATGTCCATTATAATGGTGCATACATAATAATAAAATCCAGGATCACAATGCACATACAAAATCCTGCATCACCGGGTCCACATCTTTGAATTTCGAGCATCACAAAGCGGCCATTCAAAAGAGCCAAAATAAGAGGATAGACCTGATCTGCCAATCTGATAGAAACTTGAATACCACGAGCTGGAAGGCAATAGCTGTGAGGTGAGAAATTCTAACGCAACCAAACTCAACAGTTCTGTCGTGATTTTTGGCTTATATACCCCATTTTAATTCTGCCTTTGTTTTTCATCTTCAGTCCCCGTTGTCTTCTAAGGATTTGCAACCAACGCAACTTCCTATGACTATGTCGATGTTGGGTATTCCTTGACTGTTTCACCCCATCAAGCTTGGAAGGCTTTGATTTTTTTGAATGCCGGATGTGCCTCAGCACCCCTTCCGCAAGTCTATGAAACTGCCCAACCTGGTTTCTCCTTGGCAACCCATTTGCAACAGCTTCTCCCTTTGTCTTCTCATCTTTTTTTGTTAGCACTCCATGCTTGTTTTTATGGTGGAAGACATTCCACAAGTGATTCCACGTAGTAGGTCCATGACCGTCTCTAGCATGAGTGTTACCATGATCATGATGATGATGGTGATGATGGTGGTGGTGGTGAAAGATTAATCCCAACTTATTTTTCAGCCTCCGTAGTCTTCCATTAGTTTCCTTTGGATATCTGTCATGGTGATGTCTATAAGATTTGAAACTTCCAAATCTAGGAGAAGGGCCGTCATCCTTATCGAGATATGAACTGTTAGTCTCTTCTGAACTGCCCTCATCTGCCAAATCCACCATCCTTCCTGATGAGGGACTCTGCGTTCCATCTGACAAGGAATAGTCCTCAAAGTTACTACTACTACTATTGGCACTGCCTTGCTGAGAACTCCAGCGAGAAGAGTCAGAGTTAGAGCTTGAGCTTGAGCTTGACTCCTCCCGTTCATGATGTTGTGGTAGAACCCTTGTCTTCCGTGGTTCAAGATGACCAGTGTTAAGAGTCCTCCTTCTGTCCAAAACTGGAGAGTCTCTGTGTTTATGGGAATTAACCTTAATCTCACTGGATCTCTGGTCCAATAGAGTTGGTTTCATTACCATCTGATGAGGTGGTGGTTTTTCTCTCCTTGCAATAATGGACTTAGATCCAGCTGACTTCCGTGTATAGGAAGATTCAGAATTCATTTCCTTCCGATTCTGTTCAGTCTTAGACCATGCCACTGGATTTTTTCTTGCCAAACTTTCCTTGTTTGTTTTACTTAATATCATGGAATGTTTCTCACTATGATTGTCTTCATTCAACGAGACCCTCAAACCAGGAATACCTTCACTAGCTCGACTCCCAAAAGAGGCATCACCGCTAACTAACTTGTTCAATGACTCAACACTAGCTATCATAGCTATGTTTTGTTCTGAATTTTGATTTCTATTCTGACTGCTCAAGCACTCTCCTCTTGATACCATCTGGGTACCAATCTGCTTTGGTAAATCAATGTTCTTTGCAGACTCTGCACTACTATGAAGACAACGGTTCTGATTTGCTCTCTGACTCTGACTTAACGATTCCTTTCCAGCAGAAAAGGGTTCCTCAAAAGCATTAGCAGAAATCGAATTTTCATCCTTACAACTTGGTTTAAATGTTTTCTGATTCATCAACCTATGTCCTTTCAAGAGGGACTCTCCACTACTCATCTGACTTCCTGAAGCCCCGTTGTTTCTCTGTAATACAGGACTGTCTGAATTTGCTGCTTCATGTGTAATGCGATGACCTGCACTGTTCTTAGTGGAATCCACTACATTAGAACAAATTTGGAAAGCCAAAATCCGAGACTCAATTCTTTTTATTGCACTAACCAAATCATCAGAGAAATCACCCTTCTGATCCAGATGTTCAATCTGTCCGGCAGCATTAGAATTTCTTTGGGCTTCATGAATTCTATTCAGCAATAATACATTATTCTCTTCATTTTGCTCACCATCTTTTGCATCAAACATTTGTGTCGACTCTTTTCCATGCTCACCATCACCATATAAAGCATTTACATCATTATACTGTTGCTTGCTATGACTACTCTCTGTGTTCGGCAAAATGTCATTGTCATTAGACAGATTTGTTACCTTCACTGAATTCTGTTGCATCCCACTGCTTTCCTCACCTACACTGCATAGTGTTCCACATTTTGTTCCTTCATCATCAGACATCCTAAACTTTGACAGCTCTGGCAATTGTTTCTTTGATACTAATTTCAACTTTTCTGAAGTCGTTTTACTGCAAATTGGATATTTCACAGAGCTTTGAGAAATGTTGGCTGCCACTGGAGACTTTAACTCCTGCCACTGGAGAAATGTTTTTCTTGTTCAAAGGATGCCTTAAGTAAAAGAAATCATTCTTTATACTGCCCGTAAGTTCAGTGGGTGCTAGAATTTGAAGCATTACTGTAAAGTTCATTTTATTCCACTCATTAAGGTTAAAAATAGAAAAAAAGATGGAAAAGAATCCGGATCTCTCTCATCCACAATATTTTACTCAAAAAATTAAGGGTGCCATTGGAAAAAGGGGAACCATATATATGCACCTTTAAATGAGTCTCGAAAACACTTTCAACAGCAACATCCAGCAAACTTTTCAATAAAGCTCGTGCCCACTCAACCAACTGCAACAAACAAAAGAAAATACACATCAAAATTACCCCTCAAAAAACACTCGAATATCTAGTAGTTTGTGATAATACTATTAGTAACAACAAAAAGAGAGTCAAAACACAATCCTTTCAGATTCTGTAACTAATCACAATAAATTGGGAACAAAGCTCTGTCCTGAATTTCAAAACTAGAAGAATTTAACTATAAAAGTAGGCGCACCTAATCAAATACCGTTAGTGGTTTGTGTTTCCACCGTGATAATACTTTTTTTTTTCCTTCAAGTTAACATTTTAATTTTCATGCACTTAAAAAAGATATAATTCAAAAAATAATCGTTAAAAATAACATCTTAACAAGTTCAAAGGATTAAATCTTGAAAGAATAACTCCAGATCTCACAGAGAAGTAGTTACGTAAAAAATGACTGTATGAAAAAGTTTTACCCAGAGAATATATTTACTTAAAATGCAATGCAAGTATAAAAGCACTGACATACGTGCTTTGAAGTTGAATTTTGCAAGGCGATGCTATTATCTTCGAGAAGTCTATACAAAAGTCTTATAGCAAGGAAATTGTTATGCGCTTCCTCAAACTCCATCGGAATGCGCTCTTCCGGTAATCGATTTTGCCTCATGAATCGGTCGCCTGAAAGATGAGGAAATCGGCAGCGCAAGCGTAATGGTGATCAAAACGAACCGTTTTTAACCAAAAAATGAAATTAACGAAGAAAAATGCAGAAATACCTGCATTCCGGAAAATAATTTATGGATGAAACACGTTATTGAAATTGAAGTAAACGAAGAGGCGCGTAATTTGAAAATTGGCAACAGTTGTAACTGCTATGAATGAATGAATAATGTTGGTGAAACGCTACTCGTGCATGCATTAGAAGAATTCCAACAAATTTATGTGAAGATGTTTATTATTTAGTGTTTGTTTGATGTGGGTTCATATATTTATGAAAAATAGAGTTTTTAGTACTCTATAATAAAAAGTTATACCAATATATTAATAAATAAGTATATTTAAATATATGGATATAATATTTATAGTCAATAGCTTAACTTGTGGTACAAGATTTTCTTTTAAATGTTAATAAATATCAAGATTTTCACATGTTTGTCTATTATAAAATTTAACTTATGAATGAGTAAAATTACATTACAAGAATTACTGATTTGCCAATTCTTTGATTAGATTCAGAACTCTTATGATTAAAATTACGGAGTGTTTATCTTTTGAGACAAATTGATCTTCTGGATATGCACAAGATATTCGAATTCCATTGGATCGCAAGCCATATTCCAGACATGTTGGTATCTCTTGCAAGGAACATCATCCTCCTATTTCAGACAAAGTTACATGATTAATATGTTATTTCAGACAGTTTAAGATCACTTTGAAATGCTACCCACAAACCTTAGCCATTGATAGCTGCTCCAGTGATGTGCTCATGTCATTGTTGTTACATTTTTCCATTTCCTTCATTTTGGTTTCATTTATGCCATTACAGCCTTCAAAGTTTTGTTTAATGATGGAAGGTAAATGTTGCTCCTGCACACCTGAAAATCAGAAACTATTTTAAGAGTAAACCCTTTTATGCACATACTTTATTAAACACCAAAAGATTTAAAGTATATGACACCTCGGTCTGTGGTGATGCATCTCCTCTGCCATGATACCATCAACTCCGATGATGGAGGACAAAGCAATGAAAGCAAATCTCTGCCCCTTCGTTGCAGTAAATCCAATGAAGCCGTGGGTCGTTGTTGCCATAAACCCAAAATAGCCAATCTTTTCCGCTGCTGCACAAATTGCAGAATTCCCGTGTCCAACCGTAATTTCTGTGATGCAGTTTCATAATCTGTTGGATAATAATTGAATTTTTCTTAATCAGTGTCATGACTTAAAAAAAAAAGTATTATTTTGAAAGTGAGGATGTGATAGGAAAAGCACACAGAAAGAAATGTGGTGAATGAATCCATTACCCTGGACACTGGCAATGCTACCTGTTGCAGTTGAATTTGAATCCCAATTCATATTATTTTTACATGCTTGTGGTGGAATCAATGAAAATGACTTTCTGCATTGTCTCACATGTGGTTCCAGTGAAACCGAAGTAGTTTGCTGCTGCATAAATTGTCCATGACAATCAACAGTGTCAACCAATCTTTGCTTCTCTATGAAGGATGGTTGGAAATAAGGATCAGTGAACTGGATATCATCCATGCTACTTTCTGGTTTGATTACATGGAATCCAGTTTGTTTGACAATAATTTCTTTAGGGGTTGGTTCAAAATCAATACCAATGGAAACCACAACATGATTCCATTCATTTTGAGAGAGTGGTTTATCTAGATTATCTCCAAACTTCGTGTACTGTGTACCGATGATAAGTACATGATAATCTAAAGCTGGGAAGTCGAAACAGAACCTCTTTTCAGTTAAGGACTGTATCTCCATTATGTTGCCATTGACAGTCATGATTGGTCTAAACAAAATAGAGTCCTTACCCATTGGCCCAATAACAAAACAGAGATCCATGACAGGGAGCTTCTCACGAAACCAGAAAGATAATGATGGACCTATACTTTGTTGCTCAAACCAATCTGGAATCCTTGATCCTGGCAAACAAAACATGGTGTTTCCAGCCTCATGCAGCTCCTGATAGTCAGTCATAAATAATGCATAAGTTTAGCAATATTAAGTACATTATCAATTGTCACATCAAACGGGTAGTCATAAATAGTGAATAAGATTAGCAACATTAAGAACATTAGCAATTATCAAATAAAAAAGGTAGTCATAAATAACCTGGTCCAATAGCATGGCTGTACAGCAGAAACTCAAGGATTTGCAATTTCCAGCCGAGAAATATTCTAAATTTGGTGGAATCCCTCTAATTTCTCGAAGATGCTCACAGTTATCCAAATTAAGCAATACCAAAAAGTGACATTCTTTGATGCATTCAGGAAGAAATGTGAAGTTATTGCTCGATAGCTCCAACTCTTTCACATTACCAAACCATGCTAAAACCATGGGAAAATATTCATCTAATAGATTGCAGCCCGAGAGACAAAGACATTTTACATTTGAAGACACTGAGCTCACTTTTTCTTCATCCTCCTCGTCTAGTTTTGGCAATAGCCACCCTTTGCATCCCAGGGCGAAAATCTCAGCCAGTTCTGGCAACATGACAATGCTACTAGGCAACTGAACATTTCCACAGTCAACCAGCACCAAATCTTGAAGTCGAGAAAGATTTCTAAATGAAAATGGGAACTCTTTTAAGGGAGTGTACCTCAACTCTAGCTGTGTTATATTTTCCATCTTTCCTAATATTTCTGGAAAACTCTCAAGACTTGAACAAGATGAAAGATCAAGTTGTTCAAGAGAGATCAACTTGATGGGTGGAAAACTCATAAGTTTGCTGCAACCAAAAGCACTCAATATTTTAAGTTTATCAAGAAAACCCACAGAATCGTGAATTGCTACTAAATTTTCACAACACTCAAATGTCAGTTTTTCTAAATTTTGAAGACTGGATATGTCAGGTATTTTCGTCAAACATTCAGTCCCGTCAAAATTTAAAACCGTCAGATTTATGAACTTCTACAAAAGAAAGAAGGGAAAACAAATAAGAACCAACTGAATAATTTTGAAATGATCATTGAAATAAACTCATTACACTTGCCTTTGATATGGTTGCTAACTCAAGTGATGTAAAGCAACTTCTGCGTAATTTGCATATGGCAAGTTTGTTTGGATGAAAATCTGTTGGTAAATCCTGTAATGGATATGCCCACCACTCTAATACTCTTAAACTATTTGGAAGATGTGTTGGACCTTTTGAAAAGTGAGAGTTTCTAATAATTAGTGTTTTGAGGTTTTCCATCTTCTTGAAGGCCCCTCCATCCCATTCTACAAATACTTCTTCATCTTCTTCAAATAAGGGGAAATCCAAACAGATGATTTCAATATCACTAGTCCCCTGTTAGAACAAAAGGCACAAACACTGCTGTTATGTGATCATACAATAGTCAAAGAAACAAATCAAGGTTAAAAATGAAAGAACAAGTCATCCATATCAAGTCTTACTGTATTTTCTGCCAAAACTTGAATTATATCTTTATGGGACCATAACCTCCTGTGTCTCCCAAGCTCTTTGGGTGATTCTTGCCGATCAATTTCCTTACCCATAACCTCTATCAATTCATGAAGTGTCACACAGCCATTCTTAATTTTTATGAGAGATTTGTCCACCAACACTCCTATGCCATATTTCATGCAAACACCATAATGAGCACCAAGTATACCTTCAACCTCTTCCAATTCATATCCTTTCAAGCAGCAAGCGATGTCAAGAAAAACTCTTTGCTGATTTTCCTCTAAAGCGTTATAGCTTACCTTAAGTATATCTTGGATCCTTTTGTTAGGGATTTTTTTGAACTGGTCTAATGCAGATTCCCATTCTTTTATGTCTTTCCCAAACAACAAGGAACCTATTACTTCCAAAGCTAGTGGAAGGCCAGAAGCATAAGCCACTGCTTGGTTTGAAATTTCCTTGTAACTTGGATCAACTCTGTCATCTTTAAAAGCATTCCAACTAAGCAATTCAAGTGCTTCTTCCTTATTTAAATCTTCTACCTCATATTTTCCATCAACCCCATGAATCAAATGTTTATCCCTAGTTGTTATGATGACTCTACTGCCAGAACCAAACCAATTAGGCTCTCCAACAGTTGCTCGCACTTGTTCTATTTTGTCAACATCGTCAAGAATCAAAAAAACGTTCTTTCGGTGGAGCCTATGCTTTATTATTGAAATTCCTTTGCCAACACTTCCTATCTTAATATCCTTCTCTCCAACTATTTCAGAAAGAAGCATCTCTTGGAGATGTACTAATCCGTGTTTAACAGTGTTTTCTCTCACACCATCAAGAAAACATACACCTTCAAATTGGTCTGCAATTGAATTGTAAACAGCTCGAGCAAGTGTTGTCTTCCCCATTCCTCCTATTCCATGAATCCCTACGATGTAAACTCCAGCATCGGATCCAAATCGAAGAAGTGACTTTACTTTTTGCACTCGACACTCCATCCCAACCGGGTAATCCGCCACATGCAAAGGTCTGCGGTTAATCTTGTTGGAGACCTCTTTAACGACCTTCCCTATAAACTCATGTTCATATTCCATTCTGCCCAATCGAAGAAGTTCTATGTGAAGTCATGCTAAAATAATCACATCCATGTAATGGAAAATGATAATTACATCACTAGAATTCAGATTGTCAGGCATACAAAGAACTAGTTTAGGTTACATGCAAGGACAAAACTTACATCAGTTGCATAGCTGCTGTTAGTGTAAAAAGTTTTACATTATCGTTCGATCAGAAATCATGTGAATTTTTAAGATAGTTATTATAGAAGTCACTAACCTATTAGATGATGGTGTAAAAATCTTGTCAATACATAGACTATTTACCCAAAATTAAATAAAACATAAAACATGGGTGAGACCATCGTATGATCATGGTTCCGACCAATTTCCACAAAAACTTAGTTACATGTCATATAGATATTTGTCGGAGCCATGCACACATGATTGTCCTCAGAGACGGGTAGCATACCCAAGCTTGTAATGCTTGCCGGCCACATTAGCTGCTTGGTTAAGAGCCATCTTCCATTTTTGCAACCTGTCCATGTTATCCGTGAGGTTTTGGTCGCTATTCGTGAACCTTTCCTCGTGCATGGCTAACGCTTCCGCATAACTCCCAGACTGGTGTCGAACATGAGAAGGGTGCACGTCGTAAAAAATGGGCAAAATCAAGCGACCCTGTGCCTTAACACAGTCAACGATTTTGACAAGTTCGTCTAAGCAAAAGGAAGAAGATGCATAGTTCTTGGAGAACACAACGATAGCCATCCTAGACTGTTTAATGGCCTCGATAAGTGCTGCTCCAATTTCATCTCCTCTTTGAAGCTCCTCATCATCAATGAACGCATGGATTCCCTTGTCACAAAGAGCTTTGTAGAGATTGCCGGTGAAACCGTAGCGAGTATCAAAGCCTCTGAAGCTGAGGAACACATCGTAGCTGAAGGATGCTGACATGAGAAGAAGAAAAATCTGCTGCAAACTCTGAGAGAATGAAACAACCAAATGGCAACAACTCCAAGAACTTCACTAAGTCAACTCAAGTCTTGTTCTAGAGATTTTCATCCACATAAATCATTAAAAAGTCTAACAAGCATATACGATTTAAAAAAAACTATCAAGATATATTAAATTTTTATAATAAAATAGTTGAAATTTAATTCTAATAATATTTTATATTTTATAATTACTGAACTTTTATCATGATTTATATTTAAATTCTTCTAAATACTAAACATGTAAAATATATAGTGCAAATAAATGGGTAACAGAGATTGTGTTCATCACTTAAGAAATGAAAAATGACAAAACCTTTATCTATATCTATGTTTAGGTAAAAGAAAGTTCGGTGAAGTACTAATTTTTTATCTCAAATGGGATAAAAAAAATTACGGTTATTATTTATTTTGATAGAGAAATTTATATTTTTTTTATGAAAAATGATAATAAAATATTAATAATAGTAAATGCAACTAAATTTCTAATCTAAGTAATAATAAGACAATTTATGTGTTTTATATTATACTATTTGGATAATTTAAATATATTTATAATAAAACAAGCAAATATTAAAAGAAATTTATTATTGTTGTTAAATTATTATAATATATATATATATATTGTTTAATTTATAAAAATTAAAGAGAAGAAAAATATTAATTATTAATATTCTTAATATATATATATATATATATATATATATAAAAGATAAGGTTACTTATCTTAAAAAATAAATCTTATCCAAAGACATAATTAATGCATTTAATGACTTAATTAAATAAATGAAAAAGGAAAAAAAATTGCTATAAAAGGGATCAGGGTGAAGGATCCGTAGCAAGATAAGGAAGAAGGAGAGAGAAAGAGAAAGAAAGAGAGAGGCAGAAAGAGAAAGAGAGAAAAAAGAAAAAGAGAAAGGGAGAAAGATAAACAGAGAAAAGAAAGAGAAAGATAAAAATGACTTTGCAAAATTTTAGTAGATCATCTTAAGGGGAATGAAACATTTATCAATATTCTTTTTTATTTTTATTTATAGTTGTGGAGTGAGATGTCCCTAACCTCATTCTATTTATTCTTTATATTTTATTTACCTCCAATTACGTACTAGTCGTGCTTTATATTTATTTATTTATCTCTAGTCATGCACTGATCCTAATTTAATTATCTTCAGTTACGCACTAGTCTTATTTATTTATGTCCAGTTATGTACTGGTCTTATTCTAATTATCTCCAGTTATGTATTAGTCTTATTTGTTTATTTTATTTTATCTCTAGTCTTGCACTGGTCTTATTTTAATTATCTTCAGTTATGTACTGGTCCTATTTGTTTGTTTTATTTTATCTTCAGTCTTGCACTAGTTCTATTTTAATTATATTCAGTTATATAGTGATCCTTTTTGTTTGTTTTATTTTATCTCTAGTGATGCATTGATCTTATTTATTAATTTATATTTATATTATTTAATTATTTTTTATAATAATATCTATTTATGAAGATTTAATGATATTGTGGATGGAGATTGGACCTTGGGGATTTAAATGAGTAAATATCACTTGAGAGGGTTATTAAAATTGGGCTTGTTTATCCTGACTAGTCACTACAAATTTAATTTAAATCTTCATAAATAGAATAAATAAAATAAGTTGAGCAGGTTAAAAATTATATTTTTAGGATGGTATTATTTTAAATGATAATTGTTCTCACTTCCTTATTGTTATTTCTTGTGCATGTTACAACTAAAATATCAGCATTAATAGATGGAAGCATAAAGATGGAAGACATGTATCATTCAACCACAATTAAAAGAAAATTTTTGTCAATTGTAATAATTGTTTCGATATAAAAATAATATAAACTTGTAAAGTTCACATATTTGTACATAAAAATGTATAATCATTTATCTCATATCTTACTTTTATTAAGACTTAATAGAAAGTAGTAATGTCTTAAAATATGGTTAACATCGTGAAAAAAAAGACGTCACATTAGATGGTATCAGAATAACGTTTCATGTGTGACTTGTGAAATGAGTCTATCACGATATCTTATGAATCCTAACTTATATAATTTCATATGACAAATAATAGAAGGAACAACGAGTTGACAGAAGCGGTACAAGCTATCCGAGACATGGCTGCTGCATTATTAAGGAACCAATGGATCACCAGATTTAGTTGAA